ACTGGTGGGCAATGGGCTGGTACAAGCAATTTGAAGCTGTGTTACTGCACTGTTTGTTGTATGGCTGCTTCTCACAGTCAGGTTTTTGCACACTGGGTATACCAGTGAAGCACCTGCACATAATGTGATTTGTATGTATTTCCGACAAAATATACACGCCTAAGTTCCACAGAATAGTACTTGCTCTTACTACACACAGGGCACACTAACATTTTCTATTTGAAAATGGTCTAAACCATTAGTGAACCAGCAAATTGAATTCACTCACCCGGTCTCAAGCTACATTCTTTAGAAAACACAACTTTAAGGGGCTGGTAAAGGCGGTTGGCATGAAGAAAGAACCAAGCAAGGGCTAAAGGAAGATGGGGAAAGGGAATAAAGAAAGATTTGCTTCAAAGAATGGACTAAATTGGACCGACAGAAATAAAACTACGTGCCCAAGGAAGGCCTCTGTCCTAGCACTTGTACTGGGGAGGAAGCGGGGACAGTGCCTAGGGGCTTATAGCTGTCTTTATCTTATCAAGGGTAAGTTTGGAAGTAGGTGGATTTTGAGTTTTCGCTGTTCTGCTTCAGTCATTAGGGTCCACCCTTAATTTGAAATAACATTCTAAAGCTGCTACAATGTGTAGACATTGTTAATTTGAGTGACAAGTTAATTTGTATAGCTGGCTATTTTCGTGTAAGCTGGTAGCTGCCTGCCATTCTTTATAGAACAAGGTAGGTACTGGCAACCTTATGAGACAAAGGTCCTCATGTTGCAGTTCATTGTCCTCCATCATTGAATAGTTACTTTGTAGCTTCTGTGTTTGCTGCTCTGGGCGCTGGCAGAAGGCTCCACTTTGCATTCCTCAGACTGAGCGTCTCTCCTCTGTGGTTATCGTTAGCTTTCAAGTGATCACACTTCGGCTCTTCGTCTTATCCTCATTAAGGACGTTGCCTACTTGGGAGGATTAGAAGAAGTTTCTGAAAGTACGATAATGGGGCAGGAAAAGATTTTCTGGGATAAAAGGCTCTGAAAGATATGGTGGGGAGAAGAGGTGGAAGGAGAAGCAACTGGGTTTCCCTGGTCAGGGTATTGGTTTAAGGTAAGTGTGACCTCAATCTGTAAAGAGTTTTCAACTTGGTATTTAATGGGATTGGATTTTGAATATTTATAGCATGTTATGTAAATGCTACCCCCCAAGTGCTTCCTTAAATCCTCTTAGCTTACTAATGACAGCTTTGATTTCTAAAAAGAAATAAAATCTTTTCATTTATCCAGCCTAAGAGTAGTAAACAATAGCTGCTCAATGTCCCCCTTTCATGTTGGCCCCCGAGGACAGACTTGGATTCTAGCAAGTTGATTGCTGGGCTTTTGAGCTTATGAAGGTCACGTGTAACCCAGTGGGGCAAGCTGATGTTGCTCTACCAGCTGCAAAGCAGCTTCTGGGAGTCTCATGTCATGTCAGTTCAGCAGTGCCGGGTAAAGTTAGAGACTTAGCGTCAAGGAATCTAACTTTCAGCCCATCTGGAATGATCCCATTCTTTACTGTTTTCTATTTACATTTCTATTTCTTGCCTTGATCATTTTGGTCGAGATTTCCACCAAGTGATCCCAATGTTGCAGTCAATTTTGAGCACCATTTCCTGTTTAGCTGCGTCTAGTGGTGTTAATTATTTTTGAGCTCTTCTCTAAAAATGTACCTACACCCAGGTGTGGTAGCTCTGAAGACTGAGGCAGAAGGATTATTAGTTAAGAGTTTAGCCTGGTCTACACAGGGAGGGCTGTGTCAGAATCTAAGGGACAAAAGTGTAGCCCAGTGGATGATGCTAGCATGGGGAGGCTTGAGTAAAAATTTATTGACAGAAGTACACACATGAGAGAGAGGGAGAGAGAGAGAGAGAGAGAGAGAGAGAGAGAGAGAACGGACAAAGAGGAAGGAAGAGCTTCCAGGGCACAGGTAGAGCAAGGCTTCTTAGGTTTTTTCCTAGTTGGAAGTCCTTTTGCCTGAGACGTTTACCTGATCCTGGCTATACTTGGCTAGAGCAGCTGGCTGCAGAAGCAGGTGGCTTGGGAGATGCACTTTCCCCTGTGTCTCTTATTTCCCCAATGTTGATGATTTCCTGCTCCCGCTTCCTTGACTATATCTGGGCTACAGAGAGCCCTTTAAAGTAGACAGATGACTTCAAGCAGTCTGAACGCTTGCATGCTCACACTGTGGCTGCCGAGCTAGGGGAGGGTGTTTGCACTGCAGCAATGTCCCCTGTCACTCAGCACACCATGTGGGGGTTTCAGTGGATTCTGAAAGAGTGAATTCAAATGGACTTTATGGTAATAAAGTCCATTATTTATTAGAATAAGAAAGGAGACAGCTGATTTTGTGATATTTTACCCACCTGGACTCATCTATCCAGAGCACAGCTGAGCATCAAGAACTTATAAAAAGTAATTCAAACCACCAAAATAGACAGCGTGAAGGCTTTATTCGCAGATGCAGCCATTCATGGCCTGTCTACACTCGTCTCGAAGCTCTGGACATCTGGTTCCTAAACTGATCTGTGGGTTTTTAAGCTGAAAATTCAAAGAAGAGGAGGAATGACGTATAAAAAGAATGGCCTTGGTAATGGTATGATTAACGTGACAGCGAGCACTTTTAAATTGAGGGAGAAAATAAGGCAGAAATGGAAAAGAGGAGACACTTTCATTCAGAAAGCACCGCTGTCTGCTTCATTTAGAATGAAGAGCGTTGAGCAGGGTGAGGTGTTAGAACTCCACAGCTTGGACTGTGCATTTGGTGACTTCTGTGCACCCAAGCGTGGACGCTTCTGTGCCCAGCCTGGTGATAGCCTCTAGAAAGATCAGCTGCTGCCTTCTGCTTTTAGGAGAAGGGGGAGTGTCTCTGTCAATTCTGGAGTTCTGGAAGTTGCTTACAGTGCACTTCCTGTTAACTGAGTTAATATTGTATCCTTCTGGGGTCTTTGATGGAGTCGAAGAACAGATAGTTATAGTTATACATTTCCTTAGTTATGATAAAAGATAAATTAGATATAAAACTTGAGGCTCACAAATATAGGGTAGATGATAGAGTATTTTCCTTAATTTGCCAAATGTAAATGGACTAAATACTGTAACTATAATTCTTGTTTGACAACTGCTTTGTTGTATGTAATCTTGCCATTTAAAGTTAAAACCTTCCTTTTTATTTGGATGGAAAAGGGGAGGTGACGTGGGCTTTCCCTCTGTATGCTGTGAATATGTCTTATTACCATTGGTTAATAAAGAAGCTACTTTGGGCCTGTGGCAGGGCAGAATAGAGCAAGGCAGGTATTCCAAGAAGAGATAGAGGAGAAAAAGAAGGTGGGGTCAGGGAGATGCCTTGTAGCTGCCCAAGGAGACAGATGCCCCAGAACCTTACTGGTAAACCACAAGCCTCATGGTAAAATATAAAATAATAGGAATGTGTTAATTTAAGATGTGAGAGTTAGTTAATAAGAAGCCTAAGCTAATAGGCCAAGCAGTGTTGCAATTAATATAGTTTCTGTGAATTATTTGGGCCTGGGCGGCTGGGAACGAGCAAGCAGCCTCCACCTACAAGGGAGTGAAGGCGTAAGTTACAAACAATGTCACACCAGTTTGGAATTATGATTAATAGGGTGGTATTTATTTAAAGGGGAAAAAACTTACAGATCACTGTCCCAGGCAACAGCCCTCTACGCAACCAGGAAGGGAGTCTAGTCACTGGTGGAGCAGGAAGTGAAGAGAGAGAGGAGAGGGAAGTGGCCGCTTTTTTTAAAGGGAGAGAGACCACGCCCCAGTGGGCTGGTATCTCAGCGGCTATAGGCTGGAGGAGTGGGAGGACCTCCCGCAACAAGGGAGCATATAGTAGCTCTTTTTTTTTTTTTCGAGACAGGGTTTCTCTGTGGCTTTGGAGCCTGTCCTGGAACTCTGTAGACCAGGCTGGTCTCGAACTCACAGAGATCCGCCTGCCTCTGCCTCCCGAGTGCTGGGATTAAAGGCGTGCGCCACCATCGCCCGGCTTATAGTAGCTCTTTGTATTAATATGTCTAAGGCTGAGGGGCTGAGGACATGCCTCAGTCAGTGAAGTGCTGCGTGCAAGTGTGAGGACACAGGTTCAGATCCCGGCCATGCATGTAGCAACACTAGGTAGCAGTGTGCTTCTGAAACCCACGGCGAGGGTAGCAGACACGGGCAGATCCCTGAGGGGCCATTGGCCATCCTGGTGGAATGAGTGAGCCCCAGGCTTAGTAAGGTATCCCACAAGGGTTAGCGTGATGAAGGGTTAAGCCTGACACCGACTTCTGGCCTTCACTTTAAGCCTCTGCCACTGCTCTGTGAAAGATGTCACTCAATTCTGATTCACCAAAAGACTGACATTGTTTTCCTGAATAGGAAAAGCACATAGGTAGAGAATCTCAATTTGTGTTATATAAAAAAAGTTGCCATTACTTTATTAGCACTAAGTTTTTGTAGCACTTTATAAATAATGTTTTATGTCTGGTACTCATTTATAAAAATATTGGCTTGCTGCTCTCCAGAAACACATCTGAGTGCGCATCTGCAGTGCTCCATGTCTGCACCTCTCCTTTGCAATTTATGACATTATCATTTAATTTTCTAGAGCTCAATTTGCCGAACATAAAGCCTGTTGTTATGTTTACAGCTCCTTGGACATAGAGGTTCCCAGTAAAGGTTTATTGGGTGATTAATAATGAGACAAATTATACCAAACTTTCTAATTACTCCTTTATTAACCATATAAATACTTTTCACAGTCTTTCTCCCCGTTTTCGAGTACACGTACTAAAACTTTTATAGGGTTTAAATCGCATTTGACTGGAACCATCAGAGCATATGATGCCTTCCTCGGCTTTGCCGTTCTGGCCTGAGCTTCAGGGCAGGTGCTGTGTCCCATGGTCATGTTGTTGGCTTCAGCTAAACTCTCAGGGTTGGGTGAGTCTCCGGCACTCTGTCAGAGTTCTCACTCTGTCGTTGGATCCAGGTGACGGTGGAAGAGGTCATGACCACAACTGCATACCTGGACCTTTTCCTGCGCAGCATCTCTGAGCCAGCGCTCCTGGAGATCTTCCTCCGTTTCATCCTATTGCACCAGCATGAAAACGTCCACATCCTGGACACACTCACCAGCCGAATCAACACCCCTTTTCGGGTAAGGAGAGCTTCCGGGGAAGTATGGCTTTAACTCAGATTCCAAAAGGGAACTGTTCGGGGAAGGAAATTGTGAATATTTCCTCCCTCCCTTCCCACTTTGTCCTGCAGCTGTTATTCTCTGTCTATTTGAGTAGAGATAATTTGATAACGTTTTTCCCTATCAGGTGTCCCTTTGTTAGGGAGGGGGCACTATGTCACCCCCCACCCCCAATTTTCTCAATTTGTCTATGTTGATGCTTTCATCTGTGAAACTGGCAGAATGTACTTCTGAAGGAACAAGATTCTGAGAATGTGAAGACTTAGGTGCAGGGAAAGCCAGGGCCCTGGAGGACCAGGGCCAGAGGTAGCAAATCTCTCTCTGTGGTGTTTTGAAGTGAAAGTCTGGGAAATTGTGGAGTTAGGTTTTCATTCTAACATTTAGAGCCCACTCAGCTTCAAAGATCCAACACTAAGAGTAGCACTCTCCCCCCCCCCCCCCCCGCAGCCCTTCTTCAAAGACTGTCTTGTTTTAATTGCCACCATTGTTTTAAAAGTAAAAGATAAAAATCTAATAACAATCTATCTTTGAGTTTATAGTGTATGTGTGTTACATGTTTAAAAATAATATCAGAGAGAGGGAGAAGGGAAAATAGAACCCCATAGGATACTATTCCTGTAGTTTGTTTGAATTAACTTAGTTTGAGTCTGGAATGGAATCTGATAATTTTACTGGAAAAACAATAGCCAGGAGGCAGGCACTGTAGTACAGGTCTGTAATGTAGTACTTCAGAGACTGAGCCAGACAGTTTGCAAACCTGGGGGCTAGCTTGGGCTACATAGCGGGGCCTTATCCCAATTGAATAAAAAAAAAACTGTGAAAAAAATTAAGGAAATTAAAGTATTGAACTAGAAAAAAAATCTCATTCAATGAGTCACCTGATAGCACCAGGTTCCACATTCAGCCTTCTCTCAGGCAGACCACAAGCCAAACCAAACAACGCTTAGTGAATTTAAAAGGATTGAAACCATGCGATGTGTATTGTCTGATTACAGCAAGTTTAAATTAAAAACATCGACAGAAACTTGAGAAATCCACAAATAGGTAGATGTATTATACATAGTTCAAACAACATACTCATAAATATCTGGAAGATCAAGAGATTACAAGCGAAAGGATACTTTGTTTTGAGATGCTACACTATGGCTGAACCTTGGAGATATTACAGTAAGGAGCAAAAAGATATTACAGCCAGTAACAAAAACATAAACTCCTTGATTGTATTTTTGGTAGATAGATAGAAACAGTCAAGCTTATAAAAACAGAGAGGAGAATGATAGTTCTCAGACACAGCGAACCAGGAATAGTGGGACTTCCTGAAGCTGAGCTAGGTTATCTGTGAACTCTGAACTAAAATGTAACAGTGTTACATAGTGAAACTGTTATGTAACAGTGAAAATGTTCCTTGAAGAAAAGGAGTAAGGTAAGAGTGTGCCTGCTAAATATTTAAGAAGAATGCCTCCATTTATATAATTAAGCAAATAATGACCCAGATAATTATAAAGCTGCTTGCTTTTTAGATAGCACGATCTTATATGCAAATCAAACAAACAAACAAAAAAACCATCAACAAAAAAAATCTAAGGGATATGCTGAAAAGAACTATTAGAACCCATAACGAGGTTGGCAAGGCTGCAAAAATATAATTTCATGTAAAAAATCTGCTTTATTTTTATACAATAGCAAGTGTTTTAATACCTCATTTCCTGTTGCTGTGATGAAATTTTCTGACAAAGACAGCTAATTACAGGAGGCAAGGGTTGCTGTAGCTTACATATTAGACTAGAGTCCTTCCTGGTAGGGATCTCAGGCAGCAGCAACTGAAGCAGCTAGTCACATCATAGTCAGGGACACAGAGGGATGGCTGGCTGGACGTTGGGGCCCACTATTAAAATGGGTGTTCCAACATCAGCCAAGGTTGTTAAGATAACCCCCACAGGAATGCCCAGAGGTCTACCTCCCAGGTGATTTTAGATTCTGTCACATTGGCAATCAACATTAACCTTCTCAGTGTGCAATCTAAAAATCAAATTAAGATATCAGTCACATTTGCAATAGTATCAGAAATAACACACATACACATATGTATGGAAGACATTTATACACTCATAGACTGGAAGACTTATTCCTACCTCACGTGATAAACATTAACCCAAAATGAATCAAAGACTTGAAGTTGAGAGAAAATCGTTGTAGTCTTGGCAATGGTTTCTAAGACATGCTGCAAAAAACATGAGCAACCAAAGAAACATTAGACAAACTGGGCACATTCAAGATGGAGATCTTTAGTGTTCTGAGGATCTAAGAACTGAAAACCAAGTACACTGGGTAGTGTAAGCCTGTGTCCTAGCATTGTAGAAACTGAAGGAGGCGTCTCACAAGTTTGAATCTAGCCTGGGTTACATAGCAAGACCCTATTTCAAAGATGCATCTAAATTCATCGGTGGGTAGAGGCTCTCTGGGCAAAGCTGGTGACCTGTGTTCAATCCACAGAATACACATAAAGAGACTCTACCAAGCTGTCCGGTGACCTCCACATGTGCACAGTGGTATATGTGCACACACACATCATGCACACGTACATGATAATAATAGTTTCAAAGAACAAAGAAGTAGCACAATTTTTTGGTTATTTATTTTTTATTTATTTTTTTGAGACAGATTTCTCTGTGTAGTCCCGGTTGTCCCAAAACTCACTCTGTAGACCAGGCTGGCCTCGAACTCAGAGATCCTTCTGCCTCTGTCTCGTGAGTGCTGGGACTAAAGGTGTATGACACAAAAATTGAAAGGACAATCCACAGAATGGTTGGAGACGTGTCGATCATATAAAATACTTGTGCATAGAATAAAGGACTCCTGCAACTCAGTTATTGAAAGTAACATGCTCTGCCAAGTGCCTTGACAGAGAGTGACAGGGGCTACTATGGCAATAGATAAGCAGGATACCTATTTGAGAAAAGGAAGAGTCGGGTGCTGTATTGTGAGGGAGAACAGAAAGGTTTCCCAGGGAGAGGTGATGCCAGGCTAAATCTCAGAGGAGGCAGGCAAAGGCGTTCTAGTTAAGGGTGTAGCACGTGCCTTGACTTGGAAGGGAACAGACTGTGTTGCTTCTGACTAACTACAGGTCTTTCACCATCCTAAACAAAGGGGGTGTTTGCAGCCAGTCACATACAGCTATTTCTTTACACATCTTTTGTTGGCTTTAAGTTCACTCTGTCTAGAAGACAAACTAGCATTTACTTTCCTCTACAAAGAATAGGAGTCTCAATTACTTAAATGGCCTTGGAGATTGATAACAGCTTGGGACACAGAAGCTGCAGTGATTTTTATAATTGAGTGTCTCCCCTATTTGGTAGTTCATCATTCCTTTTAGAAATTAGAGGTTGAAAGAATTCATGTGTTTGTAAAAAAAATTAATTATTTTTTTGGGTGAACTCCTTAAAGAAATAAATTTTCACACTCGGAGCACTATAGAAAATAGAACCAAAGAGAAAAATTTGCTTCAACACCAAGAAAGATACGGAGTCCTAAACTCCAAACTCTGAAGAGAGCTGGTCAGGTGTTAGGCCCTTTCCTACGAGCCTTCTTTTGTAAATAACCAGTGTTATATTTGAAGACAACTTAGAAAGACAAATTGTCTGAAGGGGAATTAGGGAAGATGGTGTGTATCAGATGTCAGGAGTTGAAGGGGCGCATTTGTAGTATCTGGATCTGTGATTCACAATATGAACACCGGTTTCTAACCCGCGCCTCCCTGGGGGAGTTGATATTCTCAATGCATCTTTCCTGGTGGTGAAGTGCAGTTTATGGGAACTGTTGGGGTAGAGAGGCCATTTTGTCCTGAGGTTCTGATGTGTCACCTGTCGGGGGCGGAGTCATCAGTCTGACATCTGAGACTCACTGTGTCCATTGCTCCCCAGCTTTGTGTGGTGTCCCTGGCCTTGTTCCGAACTCTCATTGGTTTGCACTGTGAAGATGTGATGTTGCAGCTGGTTTTAAGGTGAGTGTCCATCGATTGTTCTCGCTAAAGACATTCCCTCTGTAGTGTTACTGTTTTGTTTCTCTTTGATAATGTAAATGAAGTAAGGACCATGCCTCTAAAGAAGAAAATTATTAAGAAAGCCAATTTAATTTTTTTGGTGTTATCACCCAGAGTTAATTTTGTTTTATTATGAAAATTTTTTAGTAGGGGCATTTGTATTGTGTTATGAATGTGTTCCTGGAAACAATAATAAGAATGTTGGAAAATTTTGCTAGTATTAAAACTCTTTGGGGTCACGGTTGGACTTTGTTCTCCTGGGCTACTCTTTGTTGTTTGCGCTCTTAAGGGACCCTTGTTATTAAAAAACAACTTTCTTTCAAATATACAACACTTGGATATAGTTTTCAGCCTTTTCTTTAGTAACATACAATGTGACTGTCCAGTCTGTGAGCATGGAACAGATAGTCAGGGCTCAGGACTCAATGGCAAAGTCACACCCCAGTACCGTGGGGGAGGATGGGCATCGCAGTGCTGCTCAGATGCTCTGAGTGTGGTGATTAGCTTCAGCAGCCCGAAGCCCTGCCTTATCCCCTCTCCATCTGCCCTTGGGACCCTGCTTCCATGCAGGAAAGTGACTGTGTTCCTTGGTAACATATGGCTTGGTCCTGAATCCTCAATGCAGTATTCCAGAAGCACCAGGCTAGTCACTGGTCATTGTTTTTTTCTCCTTTTTTCTGAACCCAAACCCTAAATCCTGTAATTACTCCTCCAGTGAGACCCACCCTAACACGAGCTGCAGGGTGTGTAAAGGGGGCCACAGAACAGAGATCCCTGCAGGGATGGGTAAGGCAGGGATAGGCCAAAACTGCAAAGAAATCAACTTCCGGTAGAGCTGTATTTGTTCTACCATCTTTTCTTAAGTGGGCTGGAAGGAGAGAGGGAGGGAGGGAGGGAGGGAGGGAGGGAGGGAGGGAGAAGAGGGCTGTGGAGGGGCCCGGTGTACCACCCGAGTTGGACCGTCACTGGCTGGAGAGATGGTTGTTGTGAGTATAGCATCCTACAAAAGGGGAATTAAAACTGAGTCTTGAAAAACTAGGTGGCACCCTCTGGAGGGCCTGACAGATTGTTGCTTTATGGGAGACTATCATTTATAAGATTTTAAAGTAAAACAGTGTTTTTGAACTTTTAGGGTTTAAATCAGGTCATCAGTAACTAATCTTAAGGCATTAGCAGAGAACAAATCCAATCATAAGGACACAGCTGGTAGTCTGTTTTAAAAGGATTACTTCAGCTCCCAGCAAGTCTCTACCATCAGACAGAATGCATTAGCAGGGCCTGAATGAAATCCAGCAGAACAACTTGGCAAAGCATTTTTTTTTCTTTATTGCTCAGAACTCAAGGTGGGCAAAGCCTTGATTGCATTTGAATGTTAAATTCCTAAATGCTGCTTCGTTGATGGCAGGGAAAACAGCTGTGTTTGCCATGTCCCTGAAATGGCAGTGTCCCTGGCCAGGTCTGGGTTCCATCGCTTCCCCTCTGTGGGTCACCAAGGTCTGCCCAGGCTGGAGTGACAGGTTGGCTTGCTGGTGACCTTTACAAGAGGAGCCCTGACCACATCTGCTTACAGTATTCAAATCTGTACTCAGCAATGGTGTTACACATGGTTGTATCTGAGAGCCGGACCTGGACCTTATGACGAGAGGAATGAGCTTGTGTTTGAATGTACACATGTCCAAGTCAGGTCTAGTCATTTCTGTGACGTCCCAGAAGGTGCCTGCAGGACATGATGCTGTTACTAGTTCTGAATGGAAGAAGGGAGAGATGCCAGGCTTGAGGTTAGAGACAACTTGACCACCTGGCCTTAGGTTCTCTGGCTGGCTATTTTTTCCATGGGGATGGTGGTGCTAACGCAGTAATACAATTGCTCTTTTCTAAGCACCTCCTCCATTCCCAGCTCGACTTCCTGGAATAACAGAGGACCTGAGGGGCCTGTGCAGGAGACCCCTGGCTCCCCCACTCCCCCTGAGCCTGCAGGTTTACTTGCCCCAATTCTGGAACATGATGCCTCCTAGGATTTTTGACAGGACACATTGTGGAGACACCCATGAAAGCATTTCGAAAGAATGCAGGGTCTTGTCTACACCTAACAGAGGGTGACTTTCTAGAAAATATATGTTAAACTCATAAAAATAATGTCTTTCTGATTTAGAATCTGTCCCTGAAGCAAGGAAACAAAAACCTTATTTGTCTAGTCATTTAAACTTTGAGAGGATGTAAAAATAGATTGTAATCTCCACTTTCACTTTTGCCTGCTGTGCAGTTGTTTGTGCATGATAAGCTGGGAGGCCTGAGAGTCCATGCGGCCGCGCAGGCTGTGAGGACCTCCTGAAGACATTGTTATATGGAAATAAATCGGCGTATCTCTATCTGTTGTAACTGGAGTGCTCTTAAATATTGATTCTTCAAAGCAGTATTCTGTTCTTAACCATTTCTCCTTTGGCAAAGTGTCAGAAGGGTAAATTGAGATGAGAGATTCCCAGAGAGAGGATAGTTCAGTGAGCAGAAAACCCAGGACAAATTGTCCACTTCCTGTGTGTGCAACTGTGGAGTCCAAGGGCAGACAGGAAGTACTAACAGGTAGTGGCTCAACAGAACCCTGTGCTCCGGGAACTTCCCAGTTCTGTGAAAATCAACGCTTATACCTTGGTTTGAACATTTCTGAATGTTCCTATTAGGGTATTTTTGTTTTGTTTTTAGTCAGGTTTGTGAACCCCATTGCCTGGTGTGTCCAAATAAGAGCAGTTTTAGTTGAAGATAGTCTGTGCACATTTCAGGAACACTTCGATCTTGCAGAGGAGTTGGGGGTCAGTGCAGAGCTGGGTAGCCAGAGCAGGGAGAGGTGGGGAGGAAAAACATGGCCAGACTTTGGTGAGCAGTTAGGCTCTTTTGAGGCTCACTGATCACCATTGTAATTCATTGTCTATGGGAACCTGCTGCAGCTCATCGTCTTGGCTTCTCATAGGCAGCAGAGCAGTGTGTGTCTTCGTCACCACTGCTTAGTCACTGACTGCTTTGGCTAGTGGTTTACGTCTTAAATATGTGTCCATTGAGAATATCGTATGTGTACATAATGTATTTTGATCCTATCTCCCCCTGACGCCTCCTTCCACTCCACTTACCTTTAATTCAAAGGTAAGAAGACTCCCGTGTCTTCCAGACTTTAGGTCACTGTTTTTGGTGAAAGGTTGTAGAGGGTTGAGGAAGTAATGAAAACGTGTGTGTAAATGTAATATAGACAGCATTTTCCATTCCTGGTATATTGGGAAATGACATAATCTGAACATTTAAAGACAGGATTTCTTAACCTGTGAGCTGCGTGTAGTGGTGTAGACCTGCCTGCAATCCCAGGACTCAGGAAGCTGGGGGGAAGATGAATTTGAGGCCATCCTGAGAAACATAGCATTTCAGTTAGTCAATTAACACACACACACACACACACACACACACACACACAAATCTGTAATTATCACTTTCTGAATTTAAATAAAATCTCCAAACAAAATTACATACCATATAGTCAAAAGATGGTTTAATAAAAAATTCCTATACTGAATGCTTACTTGATTTTTCTGTTAGCAACAACCACATGATCTTGCTACTTATCATTTGAGAAGCTTTTAGCATATATTCTGATCCCAATCATTGTCTCAAAAAGATGGAAGGTCCCCAGTCGTCCCATCCTTGATTGCCCTGAGGAGCTGGGGCAGCTGTATTACCTGTGTCTCCTTACCCTCAATTTAAAAATTTGTCAGAACAACAGTGCTGGGAACCCTTGAAGGGTTGTTCATTGGGGTGTCTGTCCCTGTTTCTACTCCTCTGCTTTACCCAATGGGGACCTCCCTCCACTGGATTCATTCAAGAGGACATTCTCAGCTTCTGCTGAGAACAGGTCTTTTTTAAAGTTGTACATTGTCAACTCTTCTAAAAGAATTTCGAGGTATTCGCTGGGTGGTATTTGATAAATAGCCGTGTTAGCTTTGATCCACTGTTCCATTTTTTAAAAAAATACTTCAAACAAAGAGCAGAAGCATGTTTATTAGTTTAAGTCATGAAATATGACTGGTCTGAGCTGCAAACAGGCATTGAGTTCGTGCAGTCTGTGAAAACACTGTTGATTCTATGAATAATTAATGAACCAAGTGCACATACAGTAAGTCCCCTGTAAGCTGCATTGCTGTAGACCTTTCCGACCTGGAGAAGAAGAGTTCACATCAGCGCTGTGGGATACTTTTTCCTGCCCCCATCCATCCTTGCACTTCATATCAGGCCTTGGCCCTCTGGGAAACAGCAACCATTACCTCGTCAAGCGAGAGCTCTTATGAGCATTCACGGACATGTCTTTCTCCCGCCGTTATCACGTGGTGTCTGCTATGGTAGCTTCCCCTGCTCTAACCCTTTTTCTGGGTGCTCCCTTAGTTCCCTTATATCCCAGCCCCTGGCTGTCTGTGCCTACCTTCCCCTGCTCTCCTCCTCACCCAGCTGCCCCCAGTCGTCCCATCCTCAATTGCCCTGAGGAGCTGGGGCAGCCGGATTACCTGTGATGCTCTCTGAGTTCCAGCTGGGCTATGTTCAGACAGAGGGGAGAAATCTCTCTCGTCACCCCCATTACTAAGACATATCAGTTCACAGAGCCCCTTTGAGAAAGGATGTTTGTATTTTCCACCTGCACCACCCATCCTTCCTCCTGTAAGGTCTCCAAGGAGTATGAACGAATCCATCTTCTTTCCGGTACTTCCTTCCCACCCTGCTCCTCTTTCTCCTTGTTGCTTTTAAGAAACGGCTTAGGAAAGGCAGATGCTGCCACACCAGAGGTCTGGCTCTTAGAAACAGCAGTGTGTGTTCCCATGAGGGTGGAGGGAGCGAGGAAAGAGATGAGACTCTCTTACCGAGCTACACTAGGAATTTAAAGTACTCAAGAAATGGTTTGATTCGGGGAGAACGGCAAGTGTGTGTTTCAGACTCGGAGAGTGCTCTTGAAGTGACCACTTAAAGTGGATCGAGGGGATTGAATGTTTCTCTTCTCGACTCGGGCTCCGTGCAGCAGATGGGCCATTAGAACAAACAGGGTTCTCCATTGGGATCAGCAGGAGATGTGGGAGCCAGTCCATGATTATAGGTCCCTCGCTACACCCTGTGGGTTGTGCGTCTCATCTTTTCTGCGGGACCCTTAGTCACAGCTTGTTTTCCTCTGTCCTGCCTCTTTCTCAGGAGCGAAGTGGGAAGTCGAAAACCTTCTGGTTTACTGAAAGGTTGTGTCTGCTCAGATGGGGGCTTATGTCGGGGAATATTATTTTTAAGTGTGTTGCTTTTGTTTATGCTGTGTTTGTTTGACTCTGTGAAGCTGTGACTCTTTGCCTGTCTAAAACACCTAGTGGTCAAATAAAGAGCTGAATGGCCGATAGCGAGGCAGGAGCAAGGAGGGGTGGGGCTGCCAGACAGAGGATAAACAGAAGGAGAAACAAGGAAAAGAAGACCAACGAGAGAACAGGGAAGGAGGATATCAGAGACCAGCCACCCAGCCACTCAGCCAGCCACAGAGTAAGATGTACAGAAGTAAAGAAAGGAAAGAGTTGGGATAATTAGTTAAGAAAAGCTGGCAAGAAACAAGCCAAACTGAGGCCAGGTGTTTGTAACTAAGAACGCGCCTCCGCGTGTCATTTATTTTGGAGCTGAGTGGTGGGCCACCCAAAAGCCAAGAGTAAAACATCGTACAACAGACTCAGGCTACTGTAAAATTGTCTCTGTCTTCAGGTCCTTCAACCCACTTGGTCCATCCTTGCTGAAATGACTGGTGTGGCGTTTCCCCATTAGAACGGGCAGCCACTGAAGCCACCCCTTCTGTCCACAGAGCTTAGTCACATGGCAGGTGCATCTGACAGATGATCGGATCTTCTCCGAGCTCATGTGCATACTAAGATGCTTTCAGCCGCCAACCAACCTTTGCACGGGGAACCAGGGCTCCCCAATGAGCTCTGAGCACCACTCCCCTCCTGTCAGGGAGAGGGAGCAGAACCTGTGGTGGGGTTTGCCGCCTTCCCTTGGTGCCTGCTATGAGTCAGAGTTTTAAGAATCAAAAGACAAACTGTTGAAGCAGTCCTTGCTCTGGTAGCACACATTTGAGGAGGTAGATTAGAGATATTTGTGATGCAAAACTAATAATGCTCCCATGTTCACACGATGGAGGGAGAGAAGGGCTCTCCCTTGGAGTAAGGAACCGGGAAGCCTCCCCAGAGAATATGGTGCTTCCCTGACAAGGAGCTGTCGCAGAGAAGAGGGAAAGAGGGAAGCCTCATTCCAGATGGAGGTAGCCGTGGGTTTAAAGGCATAGGGATAAAGAGGGAGATGAGTTGGTATTGGAGAGTTCTGTCAGACAGCCTTGTCAGAAGGAAGAACCCCTTGGCAGGCTTTTGAGTGAATGACCAGTGTCTATTATGCCCGGCGGCCTGAGGGTGGGAGAGGAATCTGCCCTGCTCATGACTAGTTCCAACTGTGTTTCATGGTGTCATTTGTGTCATGGTTTTATGGCATTGCAGAGACACTGAATGCCGGATCTTTGTCATTTCAGGTATCTGATCCCGTGCAATCACATGATGCTGAGCCAAAGGTGGGCTGTGAAGGAAAGAGACTGTTACTCCATGTCCGCGGCCAAGCTGCTTGCCTTGACCCCTGTCTGCTGTGCCAGCGGCATCACCCTGACACTTGGGAACCAAGAAAGGGATTATATTCTCTGGTCAAAGTGCATGCATGACGGCGCAGGTGGGAACGTGTTGGGAATGATCTTTAAACGTGATGCCACATGCCTCTCTCTTGGCATGATGGTATGATGTGTCTCTTTGGGTAGGCCAAGTAATTGGAGAGTCAAGGAGTAGCTGGAGTCTTTTCCTGCTTCATACGGAGTAATGGATTCTGTGTTAGTGTTCACCAGAGCTCCTGCCTTCACCTCGTCATTTTCACAGGTTTTTATTTCACACGTTCCTTTTAGCGGTACCTTGAGTACAAATGTGAAAATATGTCTTAGCGTGTCTTCTGAAGCAAAATGAGTTACAGGGGTTGAGTCTATAATCAAGACACACCTGCCTTTTAATTTCCAAAATTCAAAATTCAGATTAAGGATGACTTTCCAAAAAGTCATTTTCTCTGGCAGCCACGTTTAAGGATGCAAAGGAAGTAGGGCTGTCGTTTGCGGTGAAGAAACAGACTCAGGGAGAGAGGGACTGACTTGTCCCGGCTTATGTAACAGGCAACTTCTCTGATGCCCGTGCTCCATGTCTGCTCCATACCCTGCTTCTGAAGTTACCACAGACACATGTCCTAGTGGGGAGGTTACATACCACCTGGGAGAGTTCCTGCGCAGAGGTAACAGCTATGATTCTGAGCTTGGCTTTCCCACCTTTTAGGGAAAATTTCGCAGTCATCCCAAACCTCCCCACAAAGACTGCTGCTCCCAGGGTAGGCGAGTTCAGGCACACAGAGTTCGTAGGAAGCTTGCCTGGCACATAGCCACTGCTCAGGGAATATTTCTAGGAGTATCTTGATGTCTTTTTATTTAAAGCCTATCAGGGAAGCAACACTAACCTTCTGGCAGTAGAACGGTGGGCAGAGAGGTGCCTGTCTGTTTCACGGCACTGCGTACACACTCCTAAAGACTCAAGCCTGATCCAGTCTGGTAGAGATTCCATTACGAGGGCACAGGGCTCACAAAGATGTGGCACCAGGATGTGGAGAGGGTCCGTGGCTCTGCCACAGCAAGTGGAGAACACTAATCCATCATATACGATCATTGGCGTCCATGCCAGTGAAAGCACTTACAGTATCTAGATGTTTAAGGCATGGTGCACGGCATATTTCCCTCCATGTCAGAGTCTTTTCTAGACATTCTGTTTGTGGGGAAGTCACAAATGTAAATGCAGGTGTTTTCACAACTATTTCAGGGCTGATGTTGGAACTTGTAGCGTGAAGTCAGCTGCTTTTAAACATACGAGGCCTCAGGTTGAAATGACTGTTGTGATTGGCTGTCAGTTGGCTTCATGAGACCGTCGGGTATGCACCAGCATCCTGATTGTTGCCAATGAGGTGCAGCGGGTTCACTGCCTTTCCTAGAAACCTAGGATTTTCCTCCCAGAAAACCTGGTTCTCAAACTCACAAGCCATCAGCCTTTCACTCTGTTATCAAAATCAGAACACTTTAAAATTATCGTACCCTGTGGCCGGCACCTGTCATCCCCTGGTCCACGAAAGGGGCCCTCATCAGCTCCTGTTTCTCTGATGTCTGACATTGTCACCAGGGAAGTCAGTATTCCCTCCTTTCAAGTTCCTAGTTTTGTCAATACATGAATTTAGAAATGGATCAAAGGGAACTCAAAGACAATTTTATTAGCATTTGAGAGAGAAGCACCAGGACAGGCAAGCTGTGAGTCTTGGCAGATGCTGGGAGGAGGAAGAGAGAGGCCAAACCTTGTGTCCTCCACATTAGGGTTCTGCAGTAGATGAGGACAGGCAGTGGCTGGCACCGGGGTGGCTGGAGGTGGGGTCTCTAGAGGAAGAGAGAGGGAGCCTAGAGAGCCAGGGAAAGTGGGCCTAGGAAGAAGGAATAGTTCTGAGTAATTCAGAAAAGCTGGTAGGCCCATAGCAGAGGCTCTGTAAGAGGCTGCACGAGGGAGGGGCTTTGGGGAGGGGTGAGTGCACTATCTCTTTTAGAGAATAATTATTCTTCCCATCCTCTTAGCACATCTTCAGGTGAATCAGCTTTCCTACAGGACAGACTCTAGCCCAGGTGATTGACAGGCCCGGTGATGGACAGGCCCAGCTAGGTTAACTCTTAAGGGAGGAAACAATAGTATGTAAAGCTCTGATGTCTGGAGCAGATCAGAATTTTATGTCTCCACGGGATCAGAGGCACTTGAATTTTTGGCTAGGAGACCTGAGGAGTGAACAAGCTGGTGCCTACCTCTCTAGTGTTGTCAGGAAACGGGAGATGGGATCCAAGCTCACCATGAGGGAGGGGTCATCCGCATGGGCCTCTCAGGCTGTCTAGTTACCTCACAGAATTAACTAACCATTTTCTGTTGGCTGCAGCCTGCACCTGGCCATTTTGGTTTTATGTCTTCTGGGAGAGTGGAGTGCCTGTCGCTGTCTCTCCCTCTTAATTCAGTTTCTATTATCAGAAATAATTGAACCAGTCAATGCTAGACTTAAATTGGTACCAAGTCCCCAACTCATCCCCATCTCCCTTCCTGATGGCTGTTTGATCCTACACAGGGCCCGAGGAACAGTTGCTGCCAGAAGCACCCTGCCCACCTTCTCCAACCACCCCACTTTCCCCTCCTGCCCCAGCAGCCTGCATTGTGGAGTATGGGAAGACCCTGGACATCAGCTACCTGCAGTACCTGTGGGAGGCCCACACCAACATCCTCCACTGTATGAGGGACTGCAGGGTGTGGTCAGCCCTCTATGATGGAGACTCGCCTGACCCTGAGACATTTCTGCAGAGTCTGCCAGAGGAGAGCCGAGAAGGCTCAGCCCACCCAGAGGCCAGACTCCCTCAGCAGCACACCAGGACAGCAGGGCAGGTGAAGGACAAGAACCAGTCAGAGCTGGAATGGGACGACAGCTATGACACCGGTATCTCATCTGGGGCAGACGTGGGGTCTCCTGGGCCTTATGACGAGGTGGAGACTCCAGCCCCACCAGCACCCATGGAGCCCCCGAAACACATCCAAGAGATGAAGAAGAACGCCATCCTCCTCTTCAAAGGGTCCTACATAGAAGAGTCAGACTTCCAGGATGATGTGATGGTGTATAGGCTGTGCGCAGAGAAGGACTCCGAGGACACCAGCGAGCCACAGGGGGTCATGGCCGACCCACCAGCCGAGGCCCAGCCCAAAGAAGACCAGAGTCCCCCCGTGAGCAATGGACCTCTCTTTAGCCCCGATCCTGAGGCAGAGCCACAACCCAGCCTGGAGAGTTCAGACCTATGTCAGAGCGTGTTTTCCGAAGCCACGCAAGAGCATGACGCTGATGCAGGCTTGGACTCAAACTCAGAATCAATAGTCCCTGCATCTGAGGCAGAAGTCCAGTCAGACCTGCCGGCCGCCAACACAGACAGTGATGCCTTGGACTCAAATTCGGAATCGATAGTCCCCGCATCTGAAGCAGAAGTCCAGTCAGACCTGCCGGCCGCCAACACAGACAGTGATCTCATTGCACAGTACGACAAGATCATCCAAGAACTGGATTCTGGCCCCGAGGGCTTGATGGGCCAGACCATCGCCATGTCTGACCCCCTGATTCTTACAAACCAGGACGAGAGGCGAGAGGAAGGCGGAGAAGAGGAAGAGGACGACTTTGACTCCCTCATGGCAGCAAGTCCTGCTGTGGAGACTGTGCCTTCCCCATTTGGCATCAGAGAGGACACGGCCTTGCCCAGTCGCCATCCCGTGAGGACTCAAAGCGCCCCATTCACAGGTGACAGCCTTAAGTTGCTTTGTGGTTTCAGCTTGTGTTGTGGCAGAAGAAAGTGAGGATGGTGAGGGTAAGGTGTGTCTGTCTGTCTGTCCCGCGGGAGTGAAGTATCTTTGCAGGGAGTGGTGGGGCAGTCTTGTTTGACCATTCCTATTGGGATGGATTTGTTTGTTTAGCACGTCAAGGCTTTAGACTGTGTTCTGTATAAACGTCTCCCGATGTTCATGATAAAGTAATAGGTCTGCCTGGGCCATATAAGAATCTTTATCCAAAGCTGCACTTCCTTGAATCTAATTTGTTTTTTTTTTCCTTAGCACATACTTGTATGTTCATTGTTAAAAACATATATCTTGCTATTAGAGGGCATGCTCCATGATGGTGACATGTTTGTTCTGTGCTCTGTCCCCAGTGGCCAAGAAGTGACATCATACTTGAAACACTTGTGGGATGGCAGTTGTGTGAGAAGAAGGCCATTGCCGTTAGTTGGGCTTTTGCCCTAAAGGAAAGATTTAACACATGAGAATAAGATCCACACATGCATTAACCACTTTCCCAAATTCACGTGTTCCGGGGAGAACACTGCCAGCAAGAGGGAGAGTCTGTGTTAGAGGGAAAGGCTAGGAGAGTGTCTAAGATGAGCTGATCAGCCGAGGAAGCATGATAGAAAACATTATTAACTGTTAAACAGAAATGTCTGAATCTACCCATAGTAGCACAGAGGGAATTCCCAACATAAGGACTCAGTGTTCCCAGGAAGGTTGGAGTGAGTGGGCGGTGTGGGAACCAGCAGTCCTGGAAGAAGCTAGTGACGCCACAGAGGGACAGGCAATGGCCTCAGAGTCACATTCTGGGTGTCCTGACTCTTAATACTTACCACATGCCCCCACAGCCCCTGTGAGGACAGACAGAGGTAGGAAGGGCACTACTGTTATTCTAACTAGCGGCCCTCTCAGAATCTGTTGAGAATTGTCCTTCCTGGGGAGTGGGGAGTAGATTGAGGAGGAAGGAATTGTCCCCACCTTCCAGGATCCCCATAGACAAATACAAAATAGATTGCCTTCCAGCCCAGTCACAGAGATCTGTGACTTCAAGGGGGCTCCCTACTCTTCTCCCCCAATATTTATTCATTTACTTACTGATGCCTGAAGATGTATTTAAATAGAGAGAAAGCTTTTAATTCCAAAATTATCAGGCTTGAGCTTCTAGCTAACATTTCAGTATGAAAAAGTTTTAATTAAAATTCACCCAGTCAGTCAATCATAAGTTAAAAGGATTAGATCATCTTGGGTTTCCCAGTTGATGGGGAGGGGACAGAGTTGGGGGAGCTAAGTCAGGGAAAGGGGCCAAAGTAAGCTGCCTGTCCTCTTGACATACCCAGCAGGAAGAAGCCCAACTGTGCCCTAAAACCTTTGTGTGGGACATCAGGATGAAGTCTGGCTAAAGAAGGCTGCCATTTAGAGTGCTGGAGTGGCCCCATCCCTGGGAGGTCCATAAATCAGGGGAAGGAATACAGCTTAGGGAATGCATAGAAAACAACACCTTATCACCAATACCCTTTGTGTGTGTCTTTACCTGTGTCCTTGGCACACACTGCTCACTATAACGAAGGTCTTGCCTTTTCCCTTCCTCATTTTGTAACTTGTATACAGTGTCAGGAAACATCTTTTTATGTGTGAGTTCTGTTGTTTCTAAACTTCCAAGTGTGGGCTGAGGTGTTAGATCACCTTCCCTTCTCCACAGGGATCAGCAGCAGAAATTAGTTCTGTTGAGGTGAATTTACTTTCTAGAAAAATCATAGTATTCCACTTTTTAAATTTCATTTATTCATTAATACACATTTTATTGATCCTGTAGTATTTGGTGAGCTCTATGCATTGGACCTAAAGAAAAAAATTAAAAGAATACACAATTGTTCATAAAGGCACCAGCAAAGAACTTTGTTTTCGGTGAGGAGTGGGTATCAGTCATCGTGTTCCAGATCAGAAGAAGCCCAGCGGAGGGGGAGGCAGTTGTCACAGAACATGGGTTCTGGGGGTGAGTGGGAGAGGGAAGCAGGGTTGTAAGACTTTTCCTGGGGACACAAGATCAAATATCTGTTTACCCTAGACAGGGCACTAAGGACAGACAAAAGAAACAAATGTATCAAAGTAGAGTATTGAACAATGGGGTTGCTGGGGCTCCTTACATGAGCATGTATGAAGGGTTACTTATAAAAGCAATGGGTGACTGAGGAAGCTGCACCATTGAAAATCCCATCGCAGCATGGGTGGTGACTCATATAAGCCGCATCCCTGGAGGTCCCAGCACAATTTGCAGCAGCTATACCAGAGTCTCCTCTCCCCCAGCACTCAGGCTCATGGGTTTTCTGAGCCCTGTAACTTCTGTTAAAGCTTCTAAGCCTTCGGAGCATCCATCCCAGAAGGAAATGGCTGGCAGTGAGCTGTTAAAGCTTCTAAGCCTTCGGAGCATTCATCCCAGATGGAAATGGCTGGCAGTGAGCTGGTGCTGCAAACAGAGGTGAAGAGTATGGGTCTCATAGGGCAAGGCGGGAGAGGAAGCCCAGGAGCCGCTGGTCCCTGCTGGGAGAGAGATGAAGAAGGGGGGCCTTGTGCTCCTGGCCAAAGCATTAAAGCTGGACTGTGGCCTGACTGGATCCGAAGGAGCCTTAATAGTGGTGTGGAGAGTAGGGTGGGGACGAGTTGTGGCAGGAGGAACATGGGAAATATGTTGTTGATTAGAATTTAGACTGTGTCCTGCTGTTTCTAGAGCCATTTCCACAACCGTATTCATCCTTCTGTGCCACACATCCATCCATGTATATACACATACATGTATGTACATATACATGTATACATATATATGTGTGCAAATACCTGGGAATCAAGATGATATGCTGACTAGCAGCCCTGGAAACAGATGGTACAAATCAACACCCTAACGCCTTTATTTCCGAGTTGTGTATATTTAGCATTCTGTCTTTCTTTAAGTGGGATACATAATTAACATACTTACTTAGGGTGATTTTACCAAGTGAAGCAGGTACAGGAAAAGTACATGGAACTCTGGTGTCTGTATAGGATGTGCTTAATAAATATTTTCAACAATATCACTTTATCATATACATATAACATTTCTGTAATATACTAGAGTCTCTAACAAGGGTTTCTTCTAGTAGGTGACCTGTTTTTCACTTTGCAGCTTTATACTGTTTTAAAGATGTATGTGTGTCATTTTAATCTCTTAAGACAGAAAGATTGTTGCTAGAGTCCAGACAGGATGTGCAAGAACTGTGCCTAAGGCAGAGATATGGAGGTGGAAATGTAAATGCAGACACCATGTGCACATACACGTACACACTACATACACACACCCACCACGCACATATGCACACACATACCACATACATATGTATACACATACCACATACCACATACATATGTATACACATACCACATACACACATGCACACACATGCCACATACATACATACACACATATATATATATATATGCACACACCACATACACACACACACCACACACACCACATACACACACCCACCATGCACATACACACACACATACCACATACATACATACCACATACATATGTATATATACACACACCACATACACACACACCACACACACCACACATACCACATACACACACACACACCACATACATACATACCACATACATATGCACACATACACACACCACATGCACACATACCCATCACACACACACCCATCACACACATGCACATTCAGACGTTTCTCAGGTTGGATTTGTGAACAGAGCTGAGTCACAGAATCAGTGACAAGTTGTGTTCAGAATTGAGAAATGCGAGAACAGACTCGCTATGGGCAAAGGACTGAGCATTTGAAGGGAAAGACATGAATGCTAGAAAGGGCAGTGAGGTCCCAGCCTTTCTGAAAATTTAGCTGTTCTCTGGGTGTTCTGTCCGTCACCTTTGTGGGGCTGTGATAAAATGTCCAAGGTTGCCAACTTTATTTCAGCTCGCTGTTTCAGGGGACTCAGTCCATTCACTCAGCCCCATTGCCTTTGGTCCGATAATAAGACTGTACAGCATGGTATGTTGTATGTGGCCCAGGAGCTTCCCATCTCATGGTATCATGGGACCAGAAAAGAATAAGATCAGGTACCCAGAATCCTCCACAAGGGTGGACCCCTGGTGACCCAATTTCCTTCTACTAGGCTCCACTTCCTAATGTTCCACCCTCTTATAGTCATGAGGGGGACCAAGCCCTCAATAATACATGGGCCTTTGGGGGACATTCATGATCCAAACCAGCAGGTGAGGAGCTCACTGTCCTCCCAGGGATAGAGGGAAAAGTATTTGCTCTCCACTTCCCCTGTTTCCTGTGGCTTCCTGAGAGTACTGCAGTCTTCTCATTTGCAGATGCTTATGGTTCCCCTGGCAACTGCTTTTTGCTAAGCAGCTTTCTTTGATGTGCTAGAAACCAGCTCAGAATAAGGTCAGCATTTGGAGTTTAATGTAGATATTTTATTGCTCATGCCTAAGGACGTACAGTTAGCATCACTGATGGATCTCAGTGGCGGTCTGCTGGCCTTGACTGCATGCACTGTCACTCAGGTGGGACACCAATAGCACAACCTTATTTTCCACCGTGCATGGGATTTGAGCTCTCTCAGTCCCCCTTGTAGTGATGGGTTTGTACATGTCTACCCTCGTCACTGATGGCCAGCAGTATTCATGTCTGTAGGTGGGATGGCTAGATGTAGACAAGAATATTCTGGGGTCAGTGAAAGTAAGACAGCCACATGAGAAACATGTTTTGTTGAAGGTTCAACCTATTTATGTCTTTACTAAACAGATTTCCTTAAGGAACCAGAGATGTCAGCAGCTGGGGATAGAGTTGAGGGTATGACAGACAGACAGACAGACAGACATACAAAACTGGTCCAGAGGAGAAGAGAGGGTAAGGAAAGCAATTCAGAAAGACAGATGGGTGCTGTGGTGACTCAGGAACTCTAGTGACATCTCTGGGGTTCTTAAAGGGACAATCTTTAGTTGCTTTCAAACTGAGATTCCAGTCTGTGGGGTTTCTGGGTACGTTTGGTAGAGCCCTCTCATGTTTGTTTGGCAAGATTCTCCAAGGCTCATCACTCCCCTTAGGGTTCATCACCCACTCAGCACAGAAAGTGGTGAAGAGTTCTGCTAACCCTTCCCAGGGACGGTGTGGCATGTGAAGGGATGGCCCCTCCCAGGGCCTCTTCCAGACCCTGACGCAGGGTCACTGCCTTGTCCCATGGCTCACTGCTGTCAGCGCTGAGCTGTTTGCTCTCACTTCCTAGAGAGCCCGAGTCCTTATATGGGATTTTGCCCCTAGCTGCTGGCAGACTTCTGCATGAAGTGTCTGGAAGTGTGTTTGTGTTAGACGCACTAATGTTGGTGAAGTCTTCATAAGGCATGTTTATCTATCAAGGGTTATGTGTGCATCTTATAAATATGCCTGGGCTTAGTGGCATCATCAACAGCTCCACTGGGGGAAATACAGAAGATCTCTTCGATCTTGCTTAATGGAACACATTTATGGTAAAAATTTAACACATCTTCAAGTAATTTTATTAATTTCAGATTTATTATGTTTTTCTTGCCCTCAGTAAAGCAAAACATAAACCACATTAACTTGCTATCAACGTGAGGCAAAAACAGCTTCCGTTTGCTAATAGATATATTTTATGAACTGCTTTTGTAATCCTACGGCTCTGACTTTGAGCCCTCTGTGTTACACCAGGGCCACATTTCCTGAGACAGATCCCTTCTCTCTCTCTGGTCTGAAATAGGAAATGCAGATACTGGGTTGTCAGAATAGTCAGGCCTCCACCCAGGGCCTCTGCGCTCACTACCGTCTCCCCTTCCCACTCTTCCGTGCTCTGACACCGAAGCACAGTCTCTCTCAGGTGTGTGGATAGGATAGACAGTCCTAGGTCACACCTTGATATTTGGTAAACACTGTTTGGTACTCTCCACTAACACGGAGACTTGTGGCTACAACACTTTCAGTGGCCTCTTACATCTGCATGCAGTCCATAGCACCCAGAGATAGTGAATTTCACATTTTGAACATTAACGGAACAAAAAGTCAGTGTAGAAAGGCATTTTTAATCTTTAAATATTATTTGTTGTCTGAGCATTTTAAAGTTTTTTTTTTTTTTGTTTTTTTTGTTTTTCGAGACAGGGTTTCTCTGTGGTTTTGGAGCCTGTCCTGGAACTAGCTCTTGTAAAGTTTTTTTTTTTCTTTTTTTTTTTTTATTGCGAAAAGAAGAAAAAAAACATAAACAAAAAACAAGTTTCCACCTCCTCCCAGCCTCCCATTTCCCTTCCCCTCCTCCCAGAATTCTCCCCCTCCTCCCACCCTTCTCCCCCTCCTCCCACCCTTCTCCCCCTCCCCCCACTCCTCTCCCCCTCCCTCTCCAGTCCACAGAGCAGTCCGGGTTCCCTGCCCTGTGTTAAGTCCTAGGTCCTCCCCCCTCCGTCCATATCTAGGAAGGTGAACATCCAAACTGGCTAGGCTCCCACAAAGCCAGCACATTAAGTAGGATCAAAACCCCGTGCCATTGTCCTTGGTGTCTCATCAGCCCACATTGTTCGCCATGTTCAGAGAGTCCGGTTTTATCCCATGCTTTTTCGGTCACAGTCCATGGCTTTCAAAGTATGAAGGTGGCTGTAGAGTCAGGAGGTCAGCTGTCATTCACAGGGAGAAGCAGATGGGTGTCTTCTGTGTTGGTGGTTTGTGACTGTGGCCCCGGTGATTCTGCGGCTTTAAGACTTGTCCCACATCCCCAGCCAGCCCTGACGACACTGTCCTCTCTGCAGGTCCATTCATCAGTGTGGTCCTGTCGAAGCTGGAGAATATGCTGGAGAACTCTCTGCATGTCAACTTGCTGCTGATTGGCATCATCACCCAGCTGGCCAGCTACCCGCAGCCACTCCTGCGCTCCTTCCTCCTCAACACCAACATGGTCTTCCAGCCTAGCGTCCGCTCTCTCTACCAGGTATGCTATAGACACACCTGCGCCTTTTCTCTTTTCTTTACACTCATGATTTTGTTAGTTTTCATAATTCCCACATCCCAATTAATTTGCTTTCCTTCCCTGTCCTATTAAGCTGATTGTGTCGGTTATTCTAGACAAACTGCAAAGCTTCATTTAGTTTGATGTTTTGAGGGTATCTTACCAAGACCATACATGCAGTTAAAAACAAGAAAGCAAGCTTCTGATACTGTAACAATCCTTGTAACGAGGGCTGGATCCAAAAGATACATGGATAACAGAGTGGGATTACGCTGTGGAGCAATAGCATCATTCATGTGGTTCTTGACAGGTCCTTGCTTCTGTGAAAAACAAGATCGAGCAGTTTGCTTCCATGGAGAGAGACTTCCCAGGGCTCCTCCTCCAAGCCCAGCAGTACCTGCTTTTCCGGGTGGACATGTCTGATGTGACCCCTGCAGCATTCACCAAAGGTCAGGCAGCTTTCTCCACCTTCTCCATCCTAGCCTGCTCCCACTCCCCCACATTCTGGGTTGTGTTTGTTGGTGTTGCTTGCTTGGCATCTGAGCCCTACAAGCATCAAAGAATGTTTTTATTTGTGTCCATCTTAGAACAAACTTCTCAGATCTGAAGGGCGTCCTGGCTCGCACTGGCCCATACCCTCCCTCGAGGATCTGGCTGGCCATTCATTTTCCTTGTTGAGGTGGTTTGGGGAAGGCGCTGGTGTGTGAGGTGTTGTTAAACTCCAGTAAATCACAGTACCTGTGGAGCACAGAGAGGCATTATGTGGACTCCTTGGAACCATCTTTTGGCCATTCCTGCCCTGCGGATGCCATCTGTTCTCTTTATTGTATTTTCAGAGCATCTTACACCAAAAAATAAATGTGCTTTAGGACTCTAGGAGGTGGACGCTGTCCCCAGCCTGATTTCTGACAGGTGTTAGGTGGATCATGGCAGGACAGAGAGAAGGTGGGTGGCGGGGAGGTGTGGGGGAGGAGAGCTGAGAATAGCTCCGCTGGCCCCTAGGCCTGGCTAGCACTGCTGCTGTTTGGCTTTGTTTCTGTTCTGGTTAGACAAATCTGATGGCCATTGTCTTCTGGGCTGTGACACAGGCCCTGGTGAGCAGACGAGCACATGTCCAATATGGCTCTGGCTGTACCACAGCTGTCCAGGTTGGAACCAGGCTTCCACGGGGCAGGTGAGCAATGAGGAGACTTGGTGAGAGGCAGAAACATAACTCTGGGGGAAAGTTACACCATTAAAACAAGCTGAAAAGAACCAGAACTGTGCAGCTATTGGATCGGGTCTCTGTGTGTTTGCTGTTTGATCTTGGTCATTTTGCTTCACTGGGTCTTAATGTTTAGCTAATTTTAGAGGTGGGGCTCTGGATGGAACCAACGGCTCCCAGCATATTCAGCACACAGTCTGCCGCTCAGCAGCATCTCCTGCTCTTCCCTTGACTCTTAAAGGGTTTGTTCATCTCTTTCTGGCCACAGCAATATCTCTGCTTGTGGTGAACTACAGGGGTATGACAGCAGATTTCAAAAGGCCACTGGTAAAGCAACGGGTCAGTGTTTAGGTTGTTAGACTTTGGAAGGGGAAGGCAAGGCTGAGGGAGGGCAGGATGTCTGCATGGGGGAGGATGGAATCCAGGCCCCGAGGGAGCTTGGTCTGTTGTTCACCTGGTGGAAGAATGAGCCTCGTTTGCCCTTGTGTTTGACAGGTCACTGTCAGAGCTTAGTGGCTTCAATCATGGCTGTCACTGACTGTGTATAACTGCATGTACATGTGGACTTGGGGTGTGTGGATGTACCCTGAACCTAGCCCACTCATGTGCACCTGTGCACCACCAGCAGGGTGTCTCAGACGGCCCCACACATCTGCCTGTTGAGTGGGGTGATAGCATGTTTCTCAGTACTCAGCACCTTAGCAGCAGCAACATACGTGACCAAGGAGCTCCAGGACTGAGAGTGGGGACATAGCAAATCCCTGAGGCGGAGAGCTCACTCAAGGCCAAGCCTGCTGCTTTGGGTTAGCTAAAGCGAGCCTCTGGGTTCTCAGGAAGAGCTGTAAGGAATGGTGGTCTATGCTGCTTTGGTTGGCTAAAGCAAGCCTCTGGGTTCTCAGGGAAGAGCTGTAAGGAATGGTGGTCTATGCTGCTTTGGTTGGCTAAAGCCAGCCTCTGGGTGCTTAGGAAGAGTGGTAAGGAATGGTGGTCTATGCTGCTTTGGTTGGCTAAAGCAAGCCTCTGGGTTCTCAGGGAAGAGCTGTAAGGAATGGTGGTCTATGCTGCTTTGGTTGGCTAAAGCCAGCCTCTGGGTTCTCAGGAAGAGCTGTAAGGAATGGTGGTCTAGCAGTTTACTGGACAGAAGTGGCTCCGACTTCTGGCTTCAGGTCCATCTTCACTTGTATAGTTTGTAAGGTACTTTCCTAGACAGTCACGTTCTACTGCTAAACAGCACTGTAATGTGGACAGGGATTACAGTGGCTCCATCTTGGCACATGAAATGGCAGTCAGAGGTCTGAGGCTCAAGTATCTGAGAGTATCCCGCCTCATTCACAGAGACAAGGGGGTACATGTAAACACACACACACACACACACACACACACACACACACACGTAACTACAGGAGACACTACAATGAACTGCAGCCAGCATATGTGGAGTGGGCAGGGCTGATGTCACTTGAACCAGGGCTTGGTCCTGGATCACCTTGATTGGCAGCTGTGGTTAGGGAATATGTGCCGGTGAACTTTACCATAGAAGGTTATCACATTGGTTAGCGGGCATCAATGTTATTAAGATCCCAACAATCGGGGGATTGATTTGTGGGAAGCTTCTCTTGAGAAGAAAACTTTCCTCTTTTAATTGGGTTTGTCTTAGTTTGCCTTCTGTTGCTGTGATGAAACACCAGGACCAAAAGCAATCTGGGGCAGAAAGAGTTTATTCCAATCACACTTCCAGATCACAGTTCATCTTCAAAGGAAGCCAGGGCAGGGAGCTGGAGGTAAGAAGTGATGCAGATGCCATGGAGGGCTGCTGCTTACTGCCTTGCTCCTCATGGCTTACACTCAGGACCACCAGCCCAGGGATGGCCCTCTCCACAGTGAACTGGGCCCTCCCACATCAAGCATCAATCGAGAGAATGCACCACAGGCAAACAGGGTAGGGCATTTTCTCAGTCGAGGTTCCCTATTCCAAGGCGACATAAAAGCAGTCAGCAGAGCGGCTCATATTTACTTTGTAACGGCTCTTAGGTTAGTCAGGTCACCCTCTCCACCACAACAGAAATCCAAATCACAGATAGCTTCCCGTTACCAAGAGCAGAGAGCTGGCTTCTGATGTCGTTGTGATCTAATTGCCATACATGGGTCTTGTTCTCACAGGACAAGTTTACAGTGAGAATCAAGGTAAAGGGCCACATATTTGGGTCTCTAGCTCTGCGTGCTGTGCCCTCTGCCCAGTCCTGCTGCCGGATGAACGGACAGCATTTTCCCTCCTCTGAGTCAGCCTCGAACACCTTCCATAGCAGTTTTTCAGATCTCAGACACCATTTCAGAGCCCAGCCCTGGTCCTGATGTTGATCTGCACTTCTTCTCCCTGCCTCTCCCTTTGGGTGTGTGCACGCAGTTGGGCCCTTTTATAACACAGCAGCCAGAGCGGTTCCACTGTTCAGCTTCTGCATTCCCTTCCCTTCCTGGTGTCCCCTCAGGAAACCAGGCTCCTCATCGATGTTCCCAACAGCAGCAGTAAAGAGGACACAGCACAGAGAACTCCCTGTGCTGGCTACACAGACCAAATCCCTGGCTATTGAGGTTTAGCTACTGTTTCAGGTTTAAAAAGGAAGGAAGGAAGGAAGGAAGGAAGGAAGGAAGGAAGAGAGAGAGAGGGGGAGGGAAGGAAGGAAGTAGGGAAGAGGGAAGGAGGGAAGGGGAAGGAAGGGCTATTCAACTACTTTAAAATTACACAACAGTAGTGCTGGGTTCTGCCTTACATTCAGAACCTTTAACTGAGCTCACTAGATGTTAGCCCATTCTACAGAGAAGGAAATGGACCTGGTGATCACTCAAGTCTGCTTACTGTGACGCACTGAAAGGCCATTTCCCCGGTGGCAGGTCAGCTTGGGTCCACCCCAGTGGCTGCTGAAACTGCCTGACGGAGTCCCCACAAGTTCCTAGACTCCTCTGCTACTCTTCTGCTTCATGAGGAAAGATTCTTGGATTCAAGCCGGCAGATAAACCTTAGCAGGGGCACTTCTAATTCACAAACCATGCTAGGTAAACACCCATAGAAAGCCTGGCTTAGAGGAGGGGCAAGTCTGAGGGAGAGAGAGCTGGCAATGAGGAAAGCCAGGCTCTCTGGAGGAGTGTGAAGGAATGTGGGTCATTCCCTTCATCACTCATGGTGCACAGCATTGCTGGTCTCCAGGAATAGACTGGCCTAGGAGGGCTTGACGCTGGGAGACACTGAGGCACAGCACAAGTAAAGGAGCAGTGTATGGCTGAAAAGCTGAGCCGGCCTCCAGCACGTGGGCCTCCGGCACGTGGGGCAGGAACCCAAGCAGGGGGCCTTGAGGGATTGTGGGGCAGCAATGGCACGGGCTGTGGGGAGTTGGTGGCAGCTGGAGTCCTCCATATGCAGGCCAGTGGCCCCTGTACTGGACACGCAGTGGCTCACCCGATCCTCAGAGGCATTCCATGAGCTTCTGAAAGTGCAGAGAGGTGGAGCCACTTGCCGGGGTAACCTGCCAAGGCTGCCCTTTGGACTGACATTGCTCACACTCTGGTTTAGGCTCCTGCCACGGCATGTGAGGGTTTTCTGGTAAGAGGTAGTGGGGGGGGGGGAGATTCTCAACGTTCCCAGTTCTCTGTGACACGAACTGTGATAAGCTTTAATCCAAAAGAATATTTAAAGCAGCAAAGTGGAGGATTTTTTTTTAACACTAAAGACTATAGTAGTGAGATGTGGAAAGTCCTATAAATGTCAAGAATTTTTTAGTGCTGTCGTTAAGCAACACTCTGAGAAGTGTTGAAAAATGGGGCTGAATTCTAAAAAGCAGCCAAAATAATGAAGAGCTTCAATACAGAGATTTAGAAAGAATAATGAGATCATTTGGGTAGGGGGCAGAAGGTGGCATAAATAATTCCTATAAATACATGAGGGCTGGAGAGCTCAGGAATTAAGTCAGAGATATCGGGCCATTTTAATTACCAGGACTGATTTGGTATGAAAATGCAAATCAGTTGGATACGTTAGAACTTGGGCTCTGTCATTGCTCTGTAAATGCTGGTCCCCAGTCCTTTGTTGCCCTAGATCCTGATGGCCACACGAGATTCTTAGGCTGAACCTCACATCATTTCTTTAGTTCTGGTCTGGAGGAATCGCTCACCCTCCTGTGTGAGGAGGACCCAGCAAGAAGGAGCTGAGGTTTCTGGGAAGCCCTTGAGGTCACAGCAGCAGCTGAAGAATACAAGAGCTTAAGGAGTGACCTGGTGACCAGGACTCCCCTGCACTAGGGTGTTAGCTGAGCAGAAGGGCCATAGGGGTCCTTGGTAAATTCCCCATGAGTCCATTCTCCACTCAGCTGACACCAGTGGTAGCAGGTACTGTTGGAAGTCAGCCTCTGTCTGTCTATCTATCTCTCATCTGTCATCTATTGATCTGTCCGTCTGTCTATTCGTCTGTCCATCCATCCAATCAGGGTTTTGCTCTGTTGCTCAGGCTGATCACATGATCCTTAATCTTTGGCCTCACAGATAGCCAAGTCTTCAGGGAGCCAGCACAGTGTCTGGCTGGGAGTTTGTCAGTCCTGTGTTCTTGCACAGCTGTGCCTGAGGCTCCCTGTACAGGATTTTAGGTAAACAGTCCTGTATGACAAGCTGAGAGCTAGCTGTTATCTGCTGGACAAACTTGCCATGGAGCACGTGGGGGCTGCCCTCAGACCTGGGCAGCTGAGGAACTGCATCCAGGACCCTTCTCCCCCCCTCACACGTTACGCAACAGTTCCTAAACTCCTCCTTTCTGCTTTCAGATCCCACTCAGGAGGTCTCCAGGACAGAAAGTGACAAGACCCTAACGGATGGCCCTCCACGTGTGTTTCAGCCCTTCCTGGGCAACAGAACCAAGGTGGCAGGGGCACCCCCAAACCTGCCTCTGCCAGTGAAGAACACCATGTTGGCTGCCGCTCTCTTCCCAGAGTTCCTGAAGGAGCTGGCAGCCTTGGCCCAAGAACACTCAATTCTGTGTTACAAGATCCTGGGGGACTTCGAGGACTCCTGCTGTTAGCTTTTTATATTACTATTTTAATAGATACTTGGTTTTATAAGGTTATAGCATCAACTGAATGTTAAATGCAAAGCTGCTTATCAAAAACTGTCCACTTTGATACTTCCTGACAATACTTGATTTGTAGCCGGGTCTCCCTTTGTTATACAGAATGTAAGTCTCTGAGCTGGCTGTCCCCATGGTGGGTCTTTCTGCTGAGTTTTTCCTCTTTACAAGGTTTATAGTTGTTCTTCCATCCCTGGAGCTTGAAGCTCACACAGCGCAGAGGTTCTGTGATCTCTGGACGCCGTGACGGGGGTCAGCTTTTCAGCAGCCTCAAGGAAGCTCCTCCACAGGGGCATGCCCTCTCTACCCTCTGAAAAATGCAAGAGGAGCATGGAGCTCCGCCTGCCACACAGGTACACCTCATCTGCTGCTTCCAATTTTACTTCTAGGACTTGCAGTCTCTCCACACGTATTGCCTTATATTGTGGGAAAATCCCCCAGCTCCAGCTGTCTACCCAAAAAGAATTTGGAATGTGGGGAGTTTTTATCTTGTTGCTTGAGAGCTTGCTCTATCAAGACCAAAACACAAGACAGCCTTAATTTAGTACGATTTGCACAAAATGAAGCGTACCTATGCAAACTCTGGATCTCAGGCATGTGATCAGGTGAACAGAGTGTGGTATCATATACTAAAAACCCAACCCTTATTATTTGTTTTATGAAAAGAAACATTAACTTGTGAAGCTATAGAGGACTTGGCGGGGGGGGGGGGCAGAGTTTGAAATGCAAAAGATAAAATTATACTAATTGAAACCTGTAGAAACACTGGTAGTTATTTCATTTTGCTAACGGGAGGCACGGATGGAAATGCATACGGATCCCAGGGAGCTGGTGAAGCTAGGTGCCTGCTGGGGACCTACAGCTTCGGAATGCCCAGATCTGCCCTGGGCCGGGTGAGTATGCCACAGGCTAAACAGGAGCCCCATACCCGTCCATGGAACATTGCTGACTTAAGAGCGGTTTGCCGAGTCATGGTGCAGCGGCCATCGTGTGGGAGGCACAGTAAACCGGCCTGCTCCTGCCCTCCTGATGCGTGCTCACAGGTCTCCCAGAGGACCTGCTACCCCTTCACACACCACTTTGTCCGGTTATTTGAGCTTGCCATGCCACTGAATGCTGAAGCCATATCTGCAAATGGGAGTTCTTTAACCTTGTGGTTTTATGACTATAAGTATCAGTATTCATGTCCACATTTCTTTTTATTCCTTAAAAAAATAAAACTCTAGGCAAGCATGCTGCTACTTAGCTATACTCTATACCTTTCTACATATTTATTAATTATACACCCCCTGTGGCAGGTGCCTGTGGGAAAGTGACTTTGGGTGTCATCCCCCTCACTACCCCGAGGTACTGATGCACACTTATGGTAAAAGGGGGGGCAGAGATGACTGCCCTGAGTATCAGGTGAAAGGGCAGGAAATCAGATTACCTGGTGTAGGATGTTGATAGCAAACTCACTTGACAACTCTAACTCCATCTGTTTGAGTCCTTACAGACTTCCCTAAGAGGACTGTGCTCAGTCTGACAAAATGGGAATGGAGCACTGAGAACCTCAAAGCCCGTGCAGTTGAGCTAAGTAGCCAGGGATGGTGTGGACGCAAGAGCAAATGTCATGACGATTTGAGTGAACGCCACTCTCGGCAGGCAGGTGATGACAGAAGCCCTCTCTTTGTGGGAAGGAGCAGCCGTGAGGTAGGTTATTTTAGTCCCAAAGTTCACAAGCTGAACCTTTTTATTCTCTTTTTTGGTAATACATTTTGGGAGAATTTTTAAAGCTATCTGACGTGTTTAAAATATGGTCCGGGGACTATGTCCTTGTCCCTGTGACAAGTGTCATCAGCTGCCATGCTTGAGGGGCAACAGACCCTGGACTGGCGTCACCGTGTCTAGCCTGACAGACCACAACAGGGACAGGGAGCAGAGGGTTCCTGGAACATCACACCATTAACCTAGATCTATAATTCAGAGTCTGATTTAAGGTCTACACTGAAGGAATTTATGGTTCAAAATACACGAACACACAGGGATAGTTAAAATTGATTTTGAAAATCATCAGGTAAATGTAAAAATTCAAACAAAGAAAATCCAGTGTAGTTTCAGTTTAAAACATATTTTCATGGGACGAATTACAATCTCCCAGATATGACATGCAGTTGCACGAAGAATTAATTAAAGGTGGTTTTATTACTGAATGCTTCCTTTCTGAGGCAGAGCCACTGTGGGGTTGGCCCCGTTTGGTTTAGTATCATTGTGGAAGGTGCTGAGACTTGCTGAGAGTGACATCGATGTCTGCTGTGTGACGTGGTCCTCAGTGACATGAACAGGTCCTGAGCCAGTGGCCTTTATTTGGGTTAGATGTGGTGCTTGGTTTTCAGCCCATCAAGATGTCCTGAGGCGGGGTGTTGTCAGCCTGTGAACAGAATCTAGAAACGGGAGCTGTGAATGGTTTGGGTTGCTCCAGTTTGGGCAGCGAGCATCTGCATCCAGGCTGTCACGTGCGTTTGCTTGGAGCTCCATTTAGAGGTCTAAAGTTGTGATGTGGCTATCCAGACGGGATTAGCGTATGCCCGGTGGCTCTCAGTAGGGAAGTCTGGCCAGAGTGGTGGGGCATGTCACAGCATGATGTGAACTATGACCATGCTCCAGTTCTCACTTAAGGGTAGTCTAGTTCAGCTGTGTGTTTGCAGACATGGCTGTCAAACCTGCCATCTTTATAAAATGCAGGGCAGCTATTACGGCACACACCACTTCAAGTCACTGGCCCAGGACAGCCTAATGTACAGTCTGCTGTAAACTTCAAGTCAGTTCTGCAGTTGGCTTTTCCTGAGGCCACAACAGCTTTAAACCGTTAGGGGGATATATTAGCCCCTATTTCAGCTACCAGTCTGTGAGTCACTAATCTCCATCACGCACCCGTGTGAGCTTGGAACAACTTGTCAAGGGTGTGTACTCTACCCTTACGTCTGTCAGGGAAAGAGACATTTGAAGAGAATGGAATTGGCTGTTTCTTTTTTTTTTTTTTTGGAATGACCATCATAAACCTAATGCTTCACAAAAAGCTCTTGGAGGACTCAGAATAGCTTCTGGGATAATTCTGCCTCAGCAAATCTCCTTACATCCAGGCATTTACTAGTCCATTACTTGTTTTGGAGGACAGATTATCTCGGCAGCTAATTGCCTAGATGCAGAGGGCTTCATCAAGAGATTTTCTGTAAGCTTATTTAGGGGGAAAGCACTGTGGGCGAGGGAGAGGAAGGCAGGGCGAGTCGGTGTCTGTGATTCCTCTGCAGAGTCCGCCTGCTGATGCGGATGCTCTTGTCTTTGAAGATGTGAGTTAACCCTGGCCACAGGATTTTGTCCCCATATTCATTTCAGGGTTCTTTTATGGCGTTTTTAGATGAGCTGTGTCACTTCAGAACCTGAAAGGTGATGGAAATGCTCAGGGAAGGTTATTAATTTCACTGAGCCGAGGCCACACAAGTCTGTCCCTAGTACATTTTACTGGGACAAATCTATAAAAGGACCACCGAAAGCTAGGCCTCTTTTGCCCCTGTGGACATTTTACATGGGATCTGGTGCTGATGAACTTTTTAAAGACTCCTGTTCAACCATGACCTGGGCAGTCAGTGAGAGAGGACTTCAGGCAGTGCCTTCTGCTTCCTCACCTATGGGAAAGCAGCTCCCAGGTACATCTGTCTAGAACCTGCCAAAGCAGCCCAGTGGCCACATCCACACTGTGTCTGGCAATGGGAAAATTACATGACCTTCTAGATTGACTGTTTTCCTTTCGTTATGACTAAATTCAACCTAACTGAAAGATACAATATAAACGGGTGGACCGTGCCACGGCTGCAGTACCGGAATGACTGACTGGAAGAGGCATACGCTCAAACCTTTCCTGGCTATTTCCAGATGATCAATAGTTAAGAGGGGCATGGACGGTACTCACCTCAGTAGAATACTGGTGGTTTTTCTATCTGTGCCTTGAGAGAAATGAACAAAAGCTCTACTCATCTACAGACCTAGCAAGTGCAGAAGGCTGGTGTTGGACAGAGATGACCCAGAATGTAACTAGTAGCCCATCTTACAAAGGGAGGGGTGCAGGAAGCTGCCTCTGTGATAAACGTACATTCTGTTAGCGTCCCATGGAAACCATCCGCAAGCCATGGTTTGGGCCTAGAGCAGGCAGAGGCGGCTGGGGAGGAGGCTGAGAAATCATCAGTTCCCACCACTTTCCCCTACCGATCATGGCTTCCGAGTCACACATCCAGCTACAGGTGTGTGGGTTCCACTGACAGATAGCAGTAGCCTCGTCTATGGTGCCAATTCATATATTTTAATGAGATTTCCCCTAACTGGTCCAGACTACATTCACGCCTATGCAAGAAAGGAAAGTCCTCGTCAGGTTCCAGGCAGAGCTGGCCTTGGCTTTTCCTTGGTAGCTGTGCTGTGCATGACCTCTTAAAGCCTGGTTTGGGGTTTAAAGACAACAAGGGGATGTGGCATTTGTCAGAGCTAGATGGTGTCTCCTCTGGGAATACTCCATGCACTTTTCAGTTGACAAAATCGTTTTTGGAAACTACTTCTACCTTCCACCCATCGAAGTGAGCCCAGGACATCAGCTTCATCATTGTTTCCTGCAAGGGTTGATGACCAAGACAGAACCTTTGGTAAAAATGGAAGTTGTAAAACTGAACCTTATGTTCTTTATGAAATAAAGGTCCGGCCGGATTCGAATCTGAGCGTTCTGGCCACAGGAACTCAGGCTTAGAGAGCGATAGGGGTCCTATTTCTCTCTCGTAGGGAGGTTAGCAGAAAGCACTTTAACAGCCAGCATCAGGGCAACACAACGTGGGGCCCATGGCTTCCTGGGTGAGTAACATTCTAAACTTCATCTCCTGCTTGTCAGAAACAAGCCACAGAATTGGTGTCCGCTCCATCTCAGCTTTTGGCTGAGCAAGGGGTCACTTTCCTTCACTCCTCTGTCGTGAAGCCATCACTCTGGTGACGGAGGTGGGGTGTCCACTCTCCCCTGTTCCTCAGCTGCCCTTGGAATGATGGCCCCAGCAATGATCTTACCAAGCTGGAGAATGCCAAAGTTCCCCTGCCCCACCACTTTGCTGTCAGTTTGACAAGTAGTTCTAAAAACATTCGAAAAACTAGTCATCTTCAGAAGGGGGGTGGAGTTCTGAGGGTACCGGGCATGTAAGAAACTTGGGGTACCCAGACTCCAGAGTGTGGTGTTCTGAGGTACCAGACATGTAAGAAACAGGGCACCCAGACTCCAGAGAGGGAGGGATAGGGTCAAGGCAATGGGCCTTCATCACCACTGTCAGCTGTACTTCGAGTTAAAGGTCAAGATTATGATTTATTAGTTTATAATCTTATTCTTTCTAGGTAAAAAATTTAATGTTTCAGATCTCTCTTCTGATCTTTTTTTTGGGCCTAAAGCATTGCGTTGTAAACTATACAGTCTCTGGAGTGGAAGTTAATTTTTATGTGCTATTTCAGCATATATTTTGTTCATTAAATTTATCTGAAGACGTCCGTGTCACTTCAGTTCACTGGGAGCTGACAGTGCAACAGGACCTGCTCTCACTCAGGTGAGCGGGCACCAACACCTTTCTTCCAGCCTCGTGCCTGAGCAGTGTGTTACGTGGCGTCTGTTCTGCTGTGGTTTCCTCTCCACAAGCCCACTTTCAGGTCTGCACACACTGTGTCCACCCAGCTGTCTCAGTCTGCCGCCTTCAGTGCTTGACTCCTGGGAAGCCTTCACTGGCCTCTGCGGTGAGACAGCTTTATTCTTAGATCTGCTTCACCTTTAGTCACGGCTGCCACCATCACAGAACCACTGGGCCTCAGAGGACACACACAAGTACCCACACGAACAGCGGCTTTCACGGGCTCCACACTGTCCTCCCTCGGGCTGAGGGACCTCACCACATCTCACAATGACAGCTTCTTCTCCAGTATCTCCTTTATCAGCGCTGGGTCTGCTCGACTGAGACTTGCTTTGCGGACCAACCCAATCAGCTTATTTATAGCTTTGGGGTTCCTTTTCTTCACATCCATCACCTGTGAAAACAGAAGGTAGGAGGTGAAAATAAAGACACTCAACCAAGAATCTGCAAGGTTGCCACTGATTGCAAATTAAATTCATGTTCTTTCTTCCCTTCATGTAAGATGTAAAATGAGGAGGGGATTACATTCTGAGATCTTTCTATGCTCCTGTCAGAAAGGACCTGGTTCCTCTGCTTCTGCTTAGAGCGAACAAGGGAGCCATGGTCACAATCTCCTCTGGGGTGGGCGTGGCTGAGCCGGGCATTTGTGGTGAGCATTGGGTCTAATCAGGCAGGGAGCCTCTCAAGTTTTCCAGTGCCACTGGGCAGGCGCCCCGGCTCCTTGCCAACAAGAACTGCTCCTTAGAAAACAAACCTTTGGGAAGGCAGCTCACTCAGAGAGGGCTGTAGCAGGTAGGGGGTGGTAAGGGCAGGAGGGGCTGAGCGACATCAAATAACAGTGGTGCTGGCCTCCCTCCGCAAGGGTCCTGATTGGCAGGGAGTGTGCCTGAGTGCCGCAGGGCGAGTCTGAAACCAAGTGTGTCCTTATCAGCCGCTGCAGATGGGGCAGGAAGATGGGGACTGCTGGGAGCGTGTGGGCTCATCTTCCTTATCAAGGGCTCTTTACCAAGCCGTCAGTGTCCCTGCACGCTGACAGGTGGTGTGCATTATTCTGAAAGAGATACTAGTAATTTTTCCCCACTGAAAAATCTCTCTCCAGACAATATGATTAGACCTGGGGTGGGCTGGGAGGAGGGAGACCTGCAACTTGGCACGGTTTTCCTATCTTATGCGAAGAACACAAAATGACTTGGTTTTCAGCCATGTTTCTGTCAAAGGATCTCTCTGCATCTTCCCTCCTTCACAGGCTGTAGCCCTGAAGCATTTCCTAGCCTTCCCTCACTGCAGCAGGTCCTCTTGAGGAAGTGCAAGTGGCCACACGAATCGTAAATAACAGCTCTGGGAGGGTGACAGACCCCTTGAGTTAAGACTCGGACTTGCTAGTGTGTCTGTCTAGAGTAGCGCCATAGAGCGCAAACACCAGTGAGGAACTTTCCTCACAGGAACAAGAGTCTGGGCTTTCATCTGGTTTTGTCTCTTTGGACTTCTAAGTGCTGACACAAAAGGAGGGACTGACAGGGCTGGGGCTGCACCCCTGAGGAAGGGCTGTGGCTGCAGCAGGAACTGTGCACAGATCGCTGCACAGGAAGACCTTGCTCCCAGGGGAGATAGTCACCGTTTGGGGGTGTCCATCTATGGTGGCCTGGCAGAGCTGTTCCAGGGCCTCGCGGTCCTGCATCAGTTCCAGCTGTTGCTCTGACACGATCTGTGCTGCTGTCTTCCCCTGGCCCTTCCACAGCTCCTCAAACACCTGCAGGTGGAGAAGACAGGAGAGGTGAGGACCTGCACTTCTGTCACCTCCAGGTGCCTCTGGTGCTGCAGCACCAGGAAGGGAGTGGCAGAGTCAATTAGCACCTTGCCAAGTGGTCTGGCCCAGGGAGAAGCCACCATTCCTCCCATAACCTTCCCCGAGGTCTGGGAGCTTCTCCTTCAGCAAACCAAGTCTCTCCTGGGGTTGGCCGCTCCTCCTGGGGAGGATGAGGACTCAGGCTGGCCAGGTGTGTCCATTTGATGACTCAAGCCAGGCGGCAACCTTCCTCCTAGAGGGCTGGTGATGGATCTGTCTTGAGGTGACGTTTCCTAAGGGATAGGCCATACAAGCAGCAGGAGGAGCCGCCCCTGCACAGTCCAGAGCAGCCTGCTAGGAAGCAGGGCTGCGAGAGGCAGGAAAGTGACCTCTGAATGAAGACAGAAAACTACAAACAAATCACAGCTCACAGGCTCCGGCCTTCCCTTCCTTGTGTCCTGTGGGAGAGCAGAGCAGAGCCCAGTCTGACTGGGACAACTAATGTCAGTGCTTTGCTTATTTTTCTACTTAAATAACAACAGACCCCCAAAGGAATGAAACTTGGGGAAAAGGCAAAAATTGTGGAAGGCATTTGCTGCTCGGGTTGTTTTTTACGTCTAAGAGAGGATGCAGCGCTGTCTTAATTTGACTCCTGCCCTCAGCCTGCAACCATAAGACACGGGGACACTCCCTGTCTCCATGGTGCTACTGTGCAGCCGCTCCCTCCAGGAAAGACCATTCCTCAGTAACCAGCACACTCGACAGAGCAAAGAGGAGGAAGTGCCCTGAGCGTCAGCAGGACTGCCGTCCCCAGTGAGAACAGAGAACAGCCGGGATCTGTACTGTGACGGAGGAGGCCCCATACCTCTGGTCAGCTGGCCAGACTCCTGTACTGGTGGGAAAAGGATGCCTGTAGGGTAAAGTCCCACTGTGAGTGTATGTGGGCACCTCTCTGGGCACCTCCACCTAGTCCTAGTGACCCAGGAAAAATAAGAAATGTGAACCACAGGCCTTCAAATGACATAAGATATTCAGTGAAAACATGGAACACAAATCTCCAAATTTAATTCCTAAGGAAATAACCCTGACCAAGAGAGAGCTATGAGAGGTTTGAGTGTCTGCTTTTTCATGTGGTTTACCTGGGCGTGAGGCTGCTCAGAGCAAGTCTGGGCGCTATCCTGCCCCATCCCCGATACATTTTTGCTTACTTAAGGCAACAGGAGCTGGGAGAATGGCTCAGTGGGTACAGAACTTTCTGTGTAAGTGTGGGGACCTAAGACTGGTCCCAGCTCTGGGCAGGTGGAGACAGGAGGCTCTCTGAAGCTTGCCGGCCAGCCAGAAAGCTGCAGGTTCTGTGGGGTCTTTGTCTCAAGAACTAAGGCAGAGGAAATAGAGGAATGTGTGTCCAGCCCTTCTATCACAGAAGTACTTATATTAACAAAAGCTAATGTCGACCAGCTATATTTTTACCATGAGTTGGTGAAATTAACCCCCATCCTTCAGGTCATCTGCACAGACTTCTCAAGTCCCTCGCTCAGGCATCCACAATCAGAAGAGAAGGCGAACCTCAAGCCAGCTCAGCCCCACCCAAGGCTGTGCACAGAGAGCCGGGGCAGCTATTTCCTGGTAAGTAGGCAGAACTGCTTAGCAGACAGAACCCACTGCTGTCCACTTCAAAATTAGTGGCACTGGGCCCGATTCAGCAGGCTCCAGTGTCTAACTTTTGCTCCTTCCTATTTAGGCTCCTGGATGAGCCCTCAGGAAGGAAAGCAGAGGGGCCTACTAGCCCTGCTGTCCCGACCACCTGGCTTCGATGGCCCAGGCTCCTGTTGCAGCATAACCCTCAGCTACTGTCTGCTCACACTCTGAGAAGTGTTACCTCAGGTAGTAAGAAGTCACCGACAGTACGGGAACACAAGCTGGAAAGCTCCACACACAGACACGAGCCAGGAGCCACAACAGGGGCAGAAACAGCACATGTTCTGGGGACTGAAGCCATACTCTTAACCCAGCCACAGGCTGGTTGCACCCAGGCCCCTCACCTGCCACTGACTGTCCTAGGCTTTTGAGTCAGTATAGAGAGGAAAGGCCTACTTAGGAGAAATGTCAGGGAAGGAGTCATGTCCCCACAGAGAAGGGAACTGTTGTGAAGGCCATTCTTGCAGGAAGTGACGAATCCAGCAGAAGCCTCCGAGGAGGCAGGGCAGGGGAGATGTACAGAGAACGGAAGCACCGAGAGACTTCAGTCACATGACAGTGTCAGAAGCACCGAGAGACTTCAGTCACGTGACAGTGTCAGTGCAGGTACAATGTAACATTTCCCACATCTGAAGAGCTCTGGTGCCTTCTCTCTAAAGCCCACTCCAGCCCACACAAAGGAGGTTGGTTGAATGGCACTCTGAGTGTGCTGGACCTCTCATCTGGGTGGTGCTACCAGCAGCTTTATCTGGACAGCACTCAGGAGACAAGACTCCATCTATAACGAAGCTGCAAACATCTGCCATCGTTCGGAGCTGTGGCTTGGCCAGCAGTTGGGACACAGCCTGGGCCTCCTTGGACTATATGCAAGTTAGCTGTAATGCTGATATTTCTGGAGTCTGATGTGTCCCAGTTGGCCCTGTCCTTAGTGAGGAGAAGAGGTCATGGGACTGCCACCTGCCACTTCAATACACAGACCTGGCTCCTGAAAGAGGACCGCAGGGTGCTTTTGTCTACAGTGGCCGGGAGGTTGTGCATTATGGCATACAATCTTCAGGCTTCTATTTCTGAAAAAATAGGGCTGCTTCCCAGTGGACACCTCTTCCGGCCCTGGCCCCAGAATGCCGAGGCACGAAGGCTGTAAGCCTCAGAAGTCCCACTGGAGCACCCGGGAGGTGGATGCCATGACACAGGAAAAAGACCGAACTAATTGGCGACAATGTCAGCAAGAGGCAGGCGGAGACAGAGGGATTAATAACAAATTCCAACACAAAGGAGGACGGGATGAGTCTTCGTGCGCATCTTTGATCACCAGTTAGCCATGCCGTTAATCTGATACATTCAGCCTCTTCCGGTACAAGCAATAAGATCAGAGAGTTTGTGTTCTGCCACACAGTTTCTAAAGCCTAAAGTACACTTTGTTGAACTTTTCTGCTAATGCATTAAAATGAATTACAACACAATTTTTCTTTTTATCTATTTAAAAAACATCATAAAATAAGATGCAAAAAGATGTCTAACATAATTAGTCATTAGAGAAATCCATCTCTAGTGAGATACACTCCACATTCAGAAATGTGACTTGTGAGGATCACGTTAAAGGTGGTGCCTTTAACTCTAGCATTCAGGGCGGAGGCAGGGGAGCTCTGTGAGCTGGAGGACTGTAGCGTCTGTACAGTGAGTTACAATCACACAGGAGCACCTACTGCAGTTCCTAACTGCATCCTACAAACTTGCTCTCAACTCTCAAGGATGCTTCTTTTTGTAGCAGACAGAGACCACTGCAGAAAACCACCTCTGGTCAAGATACGAACCTAGCTGACTTCGGGGTGTTCAGCCCCTACCGACACATCTACAACACAACCCTCATACCAACGGCACAGGGACCAAAATGTCTGCTGTGACAGGGGAACCCTGCCCATGGAACCCCAACAGTGTGGCCGTGTAAACAAGACCATAACAACAACACCAATACACATGCTATAGCGGAAGGGGGAACCACACAGGTCCCTACCCTTAGACAGGAGCTACAGACAACTAGACTTCAGCTGTCACAGGGATGGGCCCCTAACTGGTTAGCCAATACCAAGTCAGCCCTGAAAACATAACACAAGCAGCTACTTTAAGGGACTCATCAGGGCTTGGTTGGTTTACTTTTTGGTATGTGTTCACACACACATACACTTTCAGGCTTACATCACCATGAATGGCTACTTAAATCCTTTATAATCAATAAACACAATATTCATTATTTCTGCCGAGAAAAATCAATGGTCTTCTTACAAATGGAAAGCACAGAGCAGAAAATACAAGATAAATTCCCCAAGGCCCTGATCCGTGAGGGCGATTCCCCCAGCGGCACAAACTAAACACTGCGGATCAGGTTTTATTTTCATTCCACGGTCTCACAGAAGTCGGGCTCACCCACTCCTTTAGACATGCTGGAAGTTGATAAAACGCAAACATGTCTCTATCTGTGGCTAAAGCCAGCTGTCAGCATCTTCCCGTCCTTTCTGTTTCTCTCCACCAGAACTATCCCACTTGAGGTTTTTTCTTCTTCATTTCAAACACTACGATTCGTCTCTTATGTGTACACATATTCTTTGCCCCGAGCCATCTACTCTTCCCACAACTGCTGAGCCCTGTCATAAACATTTGTAGTCCTCTGACATCTACGAAAGGCAAAGCCATTCCTGGGTGTCGGGTCCCCGTAGCTGACAGCCTCACGTGAGGCGGCTCACAGAACCTCCTCCAGTTCCTGTCCCCAGTTTCACAGCAGAGAGCTTGGGGGATGTTCAGTGGTGCCTCATAATTAACCAAAAGCAGCCGCTTCCCCAAGCCTCACTTTGTAACCTGCCACTACTGTCAGACTGTATAAATACTAAATGCAAAGGCACCATTAAAATAACATTAGGGTCTGGCTGAAGCACTGACAGCTGCGCGCCTCTGAAGTCGAGATGAGGCGGCCCTGGGTGTTCTTTATCTTTCTGGGTACTATTTGTAGACTTCTGAATTCGAGGAATCACACACCCACCTAGCCTTGTTAGTGGAGGTGGTCAAGGAGGCGGCCCCTTTACACGATGCTCTTTTTCCCCATATCTCCACACTGAGGTGCACACGTAAAATAGCATCTCCCAAGCATGTAGCTCCTGACTGAGGACCAACTAACTCTAGAAGGGCAGGTCTGTGACAGAAACAGACGCAGCCTTGGAACTGCTGTGAAGACGGGAGAGGAGCAGGTGGACTGCTGGGGCTGCCTGGCCATGACATTGGGGAGGCTATATGGTCAGCCAATATTTGGGGTAAACACTCAGGGAAAAGACAGACAATAGCTAGTTCTCCCAATAAGCCAAAAACAAAAGCAAAACCCCTCTGCTGACTCTCTATGCTGCACTGTGCTGGCTTCCTCCCTGTGCCAAATGAAATCTTCCCGTATTCAAACTCGTGGGCACTTATACTTCAGTCATGAGATTCACTTAGTGATGCCATTTGAGTTTTACAGAAAATATTAGCTGGGATTGTGGAGCGATGGGAGTCTTCCGGGAATGTGCACATACCTGTTTAGCTGCTGCTGAGGAAATTGCTTTACTGTCCAGCAGGTCCAGGAGTTCGGCCAGTGCACCAGGTGTGACAGGACTAGCGGCCCCAAGGAGAGAAGAAAAGTCAATGTCTTACATCAGCAGCACCCGCTGGCACCCAGAATTCAAACTCTCACTCTGTGTGTTCAATCAACCATACCCAAGGATGAAAGTAATAGGCTAACTGGCTCTATTATTCTGTATTTCAGAAGCATGAGCTTTTATACTGCATGCTTTCTAAAATCCTTTATTTTACCACCCAACAATAACAGCCATTTGATGGCAGTTATAGCAAAAGACAACTGCTCAATGTGATTAGTTCAAAACGGAGGTGGCTACGAAATTCACGAACCATAAAGAAAAGTGGCAAAAAAAAATCCAGTAATATTTTTGACTGAAAGATCAAGTTGAAAATAACTTTAAATAAAAGAGCTAACAAAACCACTTTCCTGAGTGTTTTTACGCAAATATAAATTCCTCTTCACTGTAAGGGAAATGTGGTGTCTATAACATGGGATGTCTACACGCATTGCCCTGTGTCTGCAGATTCTTAAGGTGTTCTTGACACAGATGGGTTGGAAATGCACAGTTTCTCCCCTTACATCAGGTGACGACTGCAAGATGCTAGGTGTTGCTAACTCGCACTCAGAAGACTGAGGGTACACACTCAGACTGCTGAGAAGATGGGGTCAGGACCACCTCTTTACAACAACAGTAACTAGGATATGAAATGACTGTCTGGGGTCATCATGGGGCGAGTTAAGATAGGATTGTAAACACACATAAGTGTGTCTGTCAGTGTAAAAGGACCCTGAAGCACTAGAGCACTAGAAACACCTCTGCAGAAGTTGTGGTTCCTGTCACTCACTATTCATTTTTTTAAAAAACTTTCACGTAACACAGGGAACTAAAGTTTATCCCCAGTGCCAATTCCCATGACCTCCAAACCAGTAGTGATCAAGATCACCACCTTCTAACTGAAGGCCCTTACTTAGCGTTGTTTGTTCAGTCTTGGGAGGCCCATCTTCCTTAAACTACGATTTATCCCTAAGTACGCAGGGTTCTCTGGCAGACAGGGTGGGGGCAGGGGCTGAGTGGAATGGTGACTGTCAATGACCCAGACTGCCCCGCCCCCAGTCACCAGGGTGAAACACACACACCCAATCAGGAGTCATCAGGCTCAGATGGGGTGGGAAGCCTGGGATGGGTTGAGGCGGAACAACTCTCACTCTGTGTGTTCAATCAACCATACCCAAGGATGAAAGTAATAGGCTAACTGGCTCTATTATTCTGTATTTCAGAAGCATGAGCTTTTATACTGCATGCTTTCTAAAATATATATATATATATATATATATAAATAATAATATTCTGCCATGTTAGCGGTGGCTGGGCAGAGGGGGCCTAGGTGGGGTAGCCAGAGACAGGTCTCCAAACTCGATCTAGGCTCAGGAAGTTACAATAGGCCTCACCAAACTCAAGTTAGGTTTAGAAAGTTACACTGGGCCTCACGAGGCCCAACAAAAGTATGGACAAAAGATAATTCCAAGTGGAAGCCGGGTTTGGAGACTATCTGGTGGTACTAAATTCACACTCAGAAGTCCAAGAACTGTCTTGACTGAAGCCTAAGAGGCAGAAGCAGAAGACTGCAAAGTAAACAACAGCCTTTTCTGACCTCCCTTCTTTACTGGCAAGTACTGGCAAGAAATAATCAGTTTGTTTTCAAAATGTAGGTTGCTTGGATGTCCTACAATCCATAAAATACAATCCCCATTTATCTTAGAGTGTAGACCATGTACAGAGTCCAAAATAAGCACTAAGATTGTGCTAAGTTTTTAGACCATGAAAAGAGGTCACCATTCATAAGTTGATGGCTCACAGTCCATCTGACCTGCTGCTCCAGAATGCATAGGAGAGCTGCTGATAGGGACGGAATGCATAGGAGAGCTGCTGATAGGGACGGAATGCACAGGAGAGAGGCTGATAGGGACGGAATGCATAGGAGAGCTGCTGATAGGGACAGAATGCATAGGAGAGAGACTGATAGGGACGGAATGCACAGGAGAGAGGCTGATAGGGACGGAATGCATAGGAGAGAGGCTGATAGGGACGGAATGCACAGGAGAGCTGCTGATAGGGACGGAATGCATAGGAGAGCTGCTGATAGGGACGGAATGCATAGGAGAGAGGCTGATAGGGACGGAATGCATAGGAGAGAGGCTGATAGGGACGGAATGCATAGGAGAGAGGCTGATAGGGACGGAATGCATAGGAGAGAGGCTGATAGGGACGGAATGCATAGGAGAGAGGCTGATAGGGACGGAATGCATAGGAGAGCTGCTGATAGGGACGGAATGCATAGGAGAGCTGCTGATAGGGACGGAATGCACAGGAGAGCTGCTGATAGGGACGGAATGCATAGGAGAGAGGCTGATAGGGACGGAATGCACAGGAGAGCTGCTGATAGAGACGGAATGCATAGGAGAGAGGCTGATAGGGACGGAATGCATAGGGAGAGCTGCTGATAGGGACGGAATGCATAGGAGAGCTGCTGATAGGGACGGAATGCATAGGAGAGCTGCTGATAGGGACGGAATGCATAGGAGAGCTGCTGATAGGGACGGAATGCACAGGAGAGCTGCTGATAGGGACGGAATGCATAGGGAGAGCTGCTGATAGGGACGGAATGCACAGGAGAGCTGCTGATAGGGACGGAATGCACAGGAGAGAGGCTGATAGGGACGGAATGCATAGGAGAGCTGCTGATAGGGACGGAATGCATAGGAGAGAGGCTGATAGGGACGGAATGCATAGGAGAGAGGCTGATAGGGACGGAATGCACAGGAGAGAGGCTGATAGGGATGGAATGCATAGGAAATTGGGGATCAAAGTGCCACAGAGCCTATATTTAGTGCTATATTTAGTGAGTTCCTGCCTTGCTGTTCCTGGTACCTTTTTGCTGTGTCCTCACAAGAATTAAAGGGTAAGTAAGTCCTCTAAGTTATTTCTAAGACATTAGTGCTAGAAAAGCACTAATCTTTTTTCCCTCTTTTTTCTTTTAAAAAATGTTTTATTTAAAAGTTTTTTTTTTTTTCATTTTACATACCAACCAGAGTTCCCCCTCCCTCCTCTCCTTCCACTTCCCCCACCTTCCCACATCCACTCCTCAGGAAAGGTAAGGCTCCTATGGGGAGTCAACAAAGTCTGGTATATCAAGTTTAGGCAGGACCAAACCCCTCCTTCCTTGTACCTAGGCTGAGCAAGGAATCCCCCCATAGGGAATGGGCTCCAAAAAGCCAGTTCATACACTAGGGATAAATCCTGGTCCACTGTCAGTGGCCCCCACAGACTGCCCCAGCCACAGAACTGTCTTCGACATTCAGGACGCCTAGTTCAGTCCTATGCAGGTTCCCCAGCTGTCAGTCCAGGGTCAGTGAGCTCCCACTAGCCCAGTGTCTGTCTCTGTGGGTTTCCCCATCATAATCTTGACCCCTTTGCTTATATAATCCCTCTTCTCTCTCTTCAGCTGGACCCTGGAAGCTTGGCCCAGGAAAAGCACTAAACTTATTCCTCAAAGTTCAACACCCAAGACTCCATTTCCTATGATTATAATATACGACTTTGGAGCACACAAAAATTCATACCATGATGCTATAAAAGATGTGGGGTAGAAAGTGACAGAGAAAGTGCATTAGATCACATAAGAAGGATGTATTTTGCCTTACAGAAATTCATCACATGACCTTAATTGATTAGTTTGGTTAGAAATTTCCTCTATAGATTTCTTGACTGACTTAACAGCAAATGAATTTCTCGGTTACATTGCTGTTCTCACAATGCATTGATACAGTAGACCAGTAATTCCTGTATCCTGAAACTGCCCACAACTCCGCCAACTGGCACACTGCACATACAGCTGCTCTTCAACACACTATCCCACGGATACTAAAGTCATGTCCTTTGTACATGGCGATACAATCATCTAGAACCTGTGTACACCTTCCCCATACCTCAGGTAATTTCTTGATTACCTACTTAATATGATATGGCCGGAATGCAAACAGTTGTAAACTGTGTTGTTTAGGAAACTGATGAGCATGAGTCTGTACATGCTCATTGCTGCTGTAATTTCTCAGAGGTGTTTCCGGTCTGTAGTTGGCTGAACCCCAGATATGGAAAAGCTGACTGCAAATCGCAGCTATGCCAGGGCTGAACTTGTGAGACCACGACAAAGCTCAGTACCTGTCACGCTGGTCCTGAGAGACGCTCTCGTCAGTTAAATACATAAACCACCAGGATTCAGGCTCAGGATTCAGGCTCAGGGGTGGCAGCCGCACAGCCTGCTAATTTGCTGCTCTCAGGTCATCCTGGATTCCAGACAGCGAATGTGTCTCCATGAAAGGAGACTTCCTGTATCTACTCTCAGCAGTTCTTAGGGAACCTGGGAAGGAGTGGAATGGGATCTGCAAGTCTTGCAATCTCTTTCAGTCCCTTGCAGCTCTTTTAGGATCACAGCTCCATTTCCAGCTCCAAGAGCAGACACCCTGACACTATGCTCTGCCCCACAAAATGGCAGCCCATCCAGTCTTACACTTACCTTAACCCCCATGTCCCTCTTCTCCTCAGCTAAAGCAAGATCAAAAGGACCCTGGACGATGCAGAGGCCTGGACCTCCAGGTGGCCCATGACGTTCATTGATTCCTTTGCTTTCTTGTTTTCTGGGCCCTATGTGTGGTGTCCCCGCTCCTCGCTACTCTCCAGGGTCTCAGTCTCAGGACAAGTCCTTAGCGATTTCCTAGGAACCTCAGCTGTGAGGTGCAGTGTTTCCCGGGTGCTCTCCTCCTCTTCCCACTGCATCTAACCACTCCCCGCCAGCCCTGCAAACAGCACTTTCCCCAAATCTTCCAGGGATTCTCAGCTTCCTTGTCAGGCAGCTTTAATTTTGTCCCTTGTACCTGCTCAAACCTTCCCTACTGGGAAACATCCCAAGTGACCCTGCAGCTACTTGTCCTGATTGGCTTGGTAACTTTTGCAAGTGAATAACTGGTTGAATGAATAAATCTGTTTGCTACCACTGGCCCTGTGAGCATATGTATTGGATCACAAATGTAATTACATGATGGTACTAGGATGGTGGAAACTTCGGGGAGTGCCTGGGGTTGATGAAGTCACGAGGGTGGGGACCACAGTGGGATTAGAAATCTTCTCTTCTTTCCCCAACACCCCACCATGTGAGGATACAGCAGACTGATGGCCGCCTGAGGTCCAGCAAGGGAACAAATCAGCTGGAACCTGGCTTTGCTTATTTTTCTCGAGTGCAGAATTGTGAGTAATCAATGTCTATTTAAGGGGCTCATCAGTTACTTTGCCAAAACTGCCCAAGCTATTAACACGCACCATGTTCCTCCAGTATGAAGTAGCCCCGAGACCCCCAATTTGGCCTGGAATCCTTCGGGTGGCTCCTGCTCATGTCTCCAGTCTGTCACCTATCTTTCCAGCCTGCCTACCTCAGCACCCTGGAGCCTCTGGGTTTCCTGAGCTCCCGTGGCTGGCTGCTTGTCTGATCACAGAACTTCTAGATGTTTGAACTCCACACCCTCACCCACTCAGCAAACCCAAAGTTCTTCAGGGCTTGGCTCTGAGGATTTCCCTGCACCCCACATAGGCTCCAGTTCTGTGCTTCCCAGGCCACACGCATGCCTCTGGCATACAGGATCAGACTGTGAGGAGGTGGGTGCTTTCTTGTGGGCCTGTATGGGCCACAAGGGAGTCCATTCCTTGTCTTGTTCTTCCTCTAGCTGCTAAGCCCAGCACCGTACCACAGACTGTGCACTTCCAGAGATTTGAGCACAGGATGAATTTTCAGATGGGCTGGAGAATATTTTTAGAATGTGGAACACAAAGGGGCTGTTTGTTGCCTTGTTAGGGGACCGTAAAGGAGAACAGGCAGAGTAAAGAATTCACCCTGCCCTATTTCAACTGCCTCTGGACACAGAGTTCATGATGCAGAAAGAAAGAAATTCCCAGATCTCACTCACCTCTCACTGACTGCAAGATTCTGTTGCTTTAAATAGTACAGGAAAGTGTTCAGGACCCAGTTAGTCACCTTTTTTGGCTCTGCCCTAGTTTCTTTTATCACATTTTGGAAGAACTCCAGGAGGCCAACTTCATTCTGTTAAAAAAAAAAATACACATATATACGTGTGTGTGCATAAGTAATACATACATATAGAGATAGATGCGTACATCTCCTCCCCAAACTGAAGGAAGGCAGTTGGAAACCACTGCCTCTACTACCACTCTGAATCTATACAGTATTTTCCCCAAAGGGATATATATATTCCTAGTACTATACAAACTAGTACCTACATGGATCTGAGGACCGTGAAATCCACGGTCCTCCTCCACACTTGCCTCTGCCTGACTCTGGTGCCCTTTCTCTCCTGTCCTGTCCCCTCCTAGATGTCCTGGTGTCCACTGGCACTCCACAGCGGGCAGAGGAAGCCTCTGGCTTCCAGGCCTCCTGTGCCAAGCTGGTACGGTGGTCTTACCTCTCCCCATGCTCCAGGAGATATTTAGCTAGGTTGGCTCAATGAGAAGACTTGTTTCATAGGCTTCACTGTTTGCCCCCATCCCCCGGACAGCAGCATAAGTTAGGGCCACACTGATCCTGTTCGTTCTGTTAAGTACAGCCAAAACCATGTTGTTCAAGTCAAGGAAGTCTTGGTAAGAGTCAGTGGACGGCACCAGGGTCTCTTGCCAGCAGGTGTCTACTATAAACCACATGTGAACATTCATTCTTTTTCCTGCCACATTCGCCTTTAAGTATTAGGGACCGCCAGAATTATGAGAGCGAGTAGTCAGGACACTTTCTACTACTCATCAACTCAGAGTGACAGGGCTAGCCCTAGCGTTTCTATAAGAAAAATAAAAACATGTTCTATTTTTAGTAAAGGCTTAAATCTCCAAATGCAGATGGCATATTTTAAAGGTTTATTTTAAGATATGTATATGTGCGTGTGTATATATTGTGTGTGTGTATGCAAGGAAGTCAGAGGTGATGTATTCCCTGGAGCCGGGGTTATATATGGTTGTTGCAAACTGAGTTGTGGGAAGTGACCTCAGGTTTTCTGCAAGAGCAGAATGCACTTTTAACCACTGAGCCATCTCTCTGGTCCCCAGACAGTATATTTTTGAGCAGCATATTTTCATTACCCACTAAATCCAAATTAGACATTATCCTCAAAATATTCTTCATATGTTCACTCTGCAGCTAAACCTCCAACCTTTCCACCTTTCTTTGAATTCTTCATTAAGCAAAAGAACATTCTAGAAAAATAAGCTACTAAGAAGAAACAAGACATACTAACAAAAATACACTCAAACGTCAGCTACTGTACAAGTTTTAGTATGTACATGGGCACACTGCTACTAAAGTAGAAATTCCATAATAAGACATACCTACATGGCTTTTCAGATAAATTCTCTGGTGACAAGCCTACTGAATAATCCCACAATCATTGCTTATATCTCCTTGTGAGCTATTATTCTGCTCATGCTAGACTCGGGTGAAGGCCACCTCAACAGCCCAAACTTGCCTACAGATAAATTTAAAGAGGAAGTGTTGCTTAACTTCTGGAAAGTCTTCAAACTTCTCCATTGGTTCACGAGTCACTGGGGAAGGAAAAAAGGGCGATGCAGCCCACACTGGCAAGGCATGATTCCTTTTGTTCTCATGCAGACAGGCTGGCCCGCCAGGAATCAGCTGCCAGGAGGAGACCTTTCTGCCTTGTGAGGAAAGCTCTACAAAACCCACCTAGGAAATAAAGCATGCAGGCTTGCAGGCTTGGTGGAGTGACTGGGTGTGGTGAACACCCTCCACCCTTCGGTGGTTCTATTGGCTTGGTGGAGTGACTGGGTGTGGTGAACACCCTCCACCCTTCGGTGTTCTATTGGCTTGGTGGACTGACTGGGTGTGGTGAACACCCTCCACCCTTCGGTGGTTCTACACTGGACGGATAACACTGTGAGCCAGTTTTTCGTTTGTCTTCTCCTGCCAGTGTCAGGAAGCCTCTCTGCACTGGACCTCTACCGCACAGGGGACACAGGGCTTCACTGCACAACTTAAAGAGGATGTGAAACCTGCGGTGCATCAGAGTTAGCTACAAAGAGTGCGGCAGCAGGAGGCGGTGGCGGCGGCTGCTGCTGCTGCTGCCTGGAGAATGACTGATCACTTAGCACTACCTGCCCTGCTCCTTAAAACAGCAGTCCACTTCCAACACACACACACACACACACACACACACACACACACACACACACCCTGCTGCTTTTCAGTTTTCTTAGTTCCACAAGATTGGCAAATGCTAATAAGCTTGGCACAAATCTCTGAAGTCTCTGATGAACATGGCAGCTCAGCCATCTGGTTTTGTCAGGAAAACAGTGGACTGGTAATTCTCTTACACAAAAATCATATTGAGAGCAGTATAACAAGGTTACTGCATTAGGCCTTTAATATCTTCCCCAAACAACATAGTCTCCTGGTGGATGTGACACCAACTGTTCCTTCAGAGATGGCTGAAGCAGCAAGGAACATAGATCCTGCCTTATGTCTAACACCAGGCAGCCATGCAGTTCCTTGACTACAAAACATCTTTGCCACTTTTTAATTTCATTTCACAAAGCCTTCAATTACACACAGAGTCAATGTCAAGTCAGCTGCTTAGGCACTAACAGGAACCCTCAATTACTGATGAATTAACCAATGCTGATGAGTGGGAAAGCAGAGGGTAACCCTGCCCTCACTGCTGCTCTGGGAAGGAGCCTCAGGCTACCCTTGCACTGGGCTCTGCAAGCTCCTACACCATCTCTTACAGCCATGACAAAACACTACAAGACCATCCATGTAAAACAGGGTGGGACTAATCTCTCAATTCCACGTCTTCCTCTAAGTCACATATCCAGTGACCCTGATTCTGGTCCAGAAATGAGGCTAGGCTGTATTTATAGTAGAATGAAACCCGATACAGACAGCTGCCCAGTGGTACTCAGGAAAAGAAGCCCAGGAGACACTAGCTGAGGAGCAGCTGTTTACGTGACAGAGAGTGTCCTTGGCTGCCTTTTGGGACCTCGGATTAGCAATTCAAGGCTGGTCAAAGGCTCTCAAGAGTATTTACTAAATATGGGATTTGTGCTTCAGTTCACCAAGACCACGGGGGATACTGAGACCTCAGGCAGTGCTAACCCCTATGGTTTTTCTTAAACACACATACCCACGATGCTTAACTTAAATAGGATGCAGCAAGCAACTAACAACAAACAGAACAGCCAGCCATAACATACTGTGACAGAAGTCTTTTTTAACTGTTTTTATTTCTATGATTTCCCACTTGCCATATATGTTTGGAGCAGAGCTGACTGTCACTCAAACCTTGAGAACATGGATTAGGCGGGACACAGATAACTGCATATGGCTGCTACTGCTAAGGACAGTAATGCACGTGCCCTCAGGTTCATCTTCCTGCTGTGGGATGTTTGTACACTGTGTGAAAAAGGACTGCTGTGACTGGTGTAATAGAAGGCTGAACGGCCAAGAACTAGGCAGGAGAGGACAGGCAGGACTTCTGGGCAGAGACATCACTCTGGGAAGGAAATGGGCAGAATGTAGATTAATGTATAAGAGGTAGCTGAGTCAAGCCTAAACAAAAGACCAAACTTTAACAATTAATAGTAAGTCTCCCTGTCATTACTTGCGGGCTGGCGCTCCTGGTGAAAAGGTACCACTACACTTCCAACAGGCCCATGCCCGTGGGCACAGGACCGGGGCCTTGCAGATGGAGGCGCTGAGGCACTTCTGAGCATGAGGTCACCCAGCCAGACAGCAGCAGAGTGCTGCGGGTGGGAGTGCAGGGTGGGCACCCCAGCTCTGGAGCATGGAGACATGCCTGCTGCCTTTCTGGGGATTGAAAATGAACACCTATCCATGCACGCACAATGGAAGCCTCATCAAAGCCTCATTGAAGAACAGATGTTCCCAGAATTTCTATTATTTTATGCCCGCCCGCTGCTCAGCGGTTCCCGACATTAAAAATGTCACAGATGCCCCAAAGTAGAAGAAGGAAGCAGCGAGTTTACTATCTGCCTAGCAAAGGTATGCCCAAGATGCAGGGCACGACACACCGATCCCCAGATCAGGAAGGAAGACAGTGGCACACACACCATCCATCCCACCCTGGACCCCAGAGGAACGCAGAAATCCCATTAGTTCTCTTCTGCAGCACCTCCCTCCCCTCAACTATAGAAGTGATGAGGCGCTCACCAAGGCCCTGACCTACACTGTTTTTAAGTACTCCATTTTCTTTCATCAGTTTGGACACTAAGCACACTCAACCACTGCACTCAATCCCCTACCACAGGGAAGTCAAGGGGTGGGTTTGCAGGGCCCAGCTGATAGCAGCCAGTCGGCTACCCGGAAGGCCCTGCCAGTACTACATGAGCAACAAAGTTTCTTCCACTGTGCACTGTGTGGAGCTCAAAGCAGACTTTGACCCCTGGTGACAAGGGTGTGAGGAGCAGAGCTCTGAACATCTGTGCAGATGTTTAAGGGGCATATCACCTGCAATTCTGAGACTCTGTAATTTATACTAGTGGCTCTGGTCATTCTTACAAAGTGAGAAAAACAAAACTCAAATCCAACAACTCTGTAAATCATGGTGCTATGAGAACAACATCAAATGCTAGTGTTCGGGGTGGAGAGGAAGTAAAATGGGTCATGATAGCAATACTTTTAGGCTAGAAAGTAGAAACTGCATGGTAAGATGAGGGACTGGCACGCTCAGGGGGTAGAGGCTCAGGTCTGTGATGTGAACACGCTTGTCTGTGGGCGACAATTGTCGGTGAAAGTTCCTGTGAGTACAAATTACACACGAGGCTTCTCCAGGGGAGAATAGGCGACCTGGCAGTGTGAGGCTGGCCTGGGAAAGACGGACAGAAGCCATGAGCCCCGGGTGTTCCATCAGCTCTTCTGAGGCCGACCAGTAACTGCAGCTCTGTCTTCTCTTCTGGTCCTCACAAGTCCTACCCAGGGCTGCTCCTAAAACCTGAGCGAAACTCTCTACCACGGCACCTGTGCTGTGCTCCCAGCAAAGTCCAGACACATATATCCTAAGCAGAACCCAGCAGCAGCTCTGCGCAGAGGGCCTTTAACTAACTTTAACGTAAAACTCACTGTGGCTCTTGGAGATGAATTCACTCTAAGACAGAATTTGTGGGAAATCAGTTTGGGAACGCATATCTCCCTTGAATAATCAAAATAGAAACAATGAAGGTCTTAAGAGTCGACAGTGAGTGGCAGCAGGTACTGCATCACTGCATCTGCAGGAGCCGGCCCACAAAGCCAGTCCTGCTGCAGGCGCATTCCAGCTCGTCCAATGCAGAGAACCTGCGTTGCTCAGGAGAAGCTCTGTCCTGGGGGTAAGGCAACATGGAGCAGTACAGATACACATTACCTCCAAGCTGTGCTTGCCTGAAGCCTGAAATAAAATCTTTTATTTGTCCCTCAAAGTATATTATGCCACCATCAGGAAATAAAGGATCATGGTTGAGTCCTAGTCCTCTGAGGGCCCCCAAATCAGGAGTAGGACACCCTCCTTCCTGCACCCTTTTCTTAGCAGACAAAGGTCAAATGCCTTGGAGCCCAGAACACCCCTCCTCGAAGCCCCTTTGCCACGTGTGTCGGAAAGGAATGAAGCTGTGCTTTTGCAGAAGATCTCTCTACTCTAAATTACCAGAAGAAAAGTTTGGTGATTTTTTTTTTCCTCCAGAGCATGGAGTAATTGTAAAGTACCCTTAAGCTGGCAAGTCAGGATGCAATTTAGAAAATGAAGAATAAAATCAATTTTAAAAACTGTGTAGAACTGAAATATGGTGTGCTACTAAGCTGACCAAATGGGTTTTCTTCAGCAGTAGTTAAAAGATGACGACTGCACCATGAGAGCCTGGACAGTCGAAAGCCAGCACTGTGGTTCCAGACACGATTTCAAACTATTAGCTTTAAAGCAGTACTACATATGGGACGTACAGAAATTTGTCACGGGGGCAGTTTTATGGGCAATTCATCCAGAAAGCAAACCAGGCCCTTTTTAGCTTACAAAACACCTAAAGAAAAAGCTTCAAAAACAGTTCATTTACCAATTAACTGATACTTTGTTTCTCTGTCCTTGGGAGACACCTTAACCTTTTCTATGAAGTCAGAATCAAAGTATTATTACTTTCGATAGAGAAGAACCAGCTAGAGAAAGGAAGCTGTCCAGTAAGATACAAGTCTTGAGAGGCTGGATACAAAGCCGGACACACACACCAATGGCAGCACCGGTTACTGACTGGGTAGGTGGGGGTGACGTCATATTTGTCTACAGAGTCATGGAGGCCAGACTGGACTTTTATAAACTCCTGCTCTGCATGGTTCCCACTGCACCATGTTTGCATGCTGCCTGATACCAACACTCTTTTCCCCGGAAGCATACTCTGAAGTTCCCTTGACTCTTTAGAATTTTTGGATTCGGTGAGATTATGCTATGCCATCTCCTCCTCTGGGGGGAGTTCTGACTGCCTGCGTTGGATGTGGATGGGACCTCTCAAGTGTGGAGTCTGTACAAAGGGACAGGACACCAGCAGGGGCTGCAGCCCTCCCAAGACCCTGGTCCAGGGCTGCGGCACCTGCTGCTCCTCTACTGCAGCTCTGTGTGGTGAGTCATCTCTCTGTCTGTTCACATGCACAGCCAGCTGCATGAGAGTTCGCAGCATGTCCTGACCGGGTGCCTGGAGTGAACCAGGCTCCATAACACAGGGCCTTGGGGAAACACCCCCACAGTCCCTACAAACTGCCCCCAATGACTCAGACCAAAGGACCCGTGCATCTCCAGCAGAAAGTTTAAGATACAACATAAACAAAGATGCAGAAGACAGCTCATGTTACCTCTCTGACCTAATTTTTCTAAAATTAGTATGACTGATGCTGTTTATTTTCCATTGCAGCTGACTGATTTTCACAAAATTTAGTAGACAACATTTATGTTTATTTCTGGCATCTTTAAAACCAACAAGATTGGCTTAAAGCTTTCAATGAACATGTACTCTCTGATTGAACTTCATAAAAACAACTCTGGGACTGTATTAAGCATCAAGTTTTAGCGAAAGTAAAAACTGAATTTCTTCCATTAATAAAACAAAGGCAATCAAAACCAATCATCACCTAAAACATTATTTCCACTTGGCATGGCAGTACACCGTGCGTGAGTGCAGGCAGCAGAGCTTAGAAACATAAGCCTGGTCCAGCACGAGTGTAAAAGTTCCTTTCCCCGCATGACAGACAGCAGCTACCCCTGCCGTGGGGGCTGTCTGAGCAGAGGCAGTCAAGGAAGAGCATGCAGTAAGCAAGCTGCCTTTAAACTAGAGATATGGCTGCCATCCTTTGTGTCCCCAGAATGAGACAAGACTCTCGGGCTAGGAAGTGATGTTCCCATGAAAATCAGCCCAGAACATTTTAGGGGAAAAAATAGAACATGCGTATAATTCTAGTAGATCTACTAGAATTATACTAATTCTACTAGAATTCTACTAATTCTAGTGGGTCTTCAGGATCTCTGGTTTCCATAACCCTAATCCCTGGGTCTCAGCTCCACATTTCTACATTAATCTTGACAAATGAGATTAGAAAGTAAGTCAATTTGACTAGGATAGGGAAGAAGGTCAGCTAAGTAACTTGAAGTCTTCAGTGGGTCAAGATTCGGATGTGGGTAGAGAAAATCAGCACACAGGTTTCCTTTTGAGAAGGGATGCTCAGGACAGTCTAGGAGAGAAAACCCAGACTCAGGATAATCTAGTGAAACAAAGCTGGAACTACGCGTCTCAGGACAGTCTAGGAGAGAAAACCCAGACTCAGGATAATCTAGTGAAGCAAAGCTGGAACTACGCGTCTCAGGACAGTCTAGGAGAGAAAACCCAGACTCAGGATAATCTAGTGAAGCAAAGCTGGAACTACGCGTCTCAGGACAGTCTAGGAGAGAAAACCCAGACTCAGGATAATCTAGTGAAGCAAAGCTGGAACTACGCGTCTCAGGACAGTCTAGGAGAGAAAACCCAGACTCAGGATAATCTAGTGAAGCAAAGCTGGAACTACGCGTCTCAGGACAGTCTAGGAGAGAAAACCCAGACTCAGGATAATCTAGTGAAGCAAAGCTGGAACTACGCGTCTGAGACGTGACATGGCCAAAGCCATCACTTGTGTCTTCTCGCCAGAGATGTAGTGACACACACAGTCCACGGTTTTGCTGGGCTGTCAGAGGGAACTGCCAGGAACACTACTTCTCTAGGGATTTCACATGCAATACAATCCCATTCATTCAACCATCTGTCTGTCCAGGCAACGAGGCATACTATGTGCTTGGTAAGACAGCAGATGCTAAGGTATATTAGCAAAAGTTCTGTAAATGTCAGAGATGATACTAACAAAACACAATTCAGTGTTTGCTGCACAGGAAAACAGCACGATGAATTAGAAGCGAGTTAGATTTTGAAGGTTTTACTTGTGGGGAGTGTGTGTGGGTGGTGTGTGCATGCACTAATAATTAAATAAGAAGCCCAACGGCGCTGAGCTGGCGTGGAAGGCCCGAGAGCACCTCTACCGCTGCCATTTATTTAATGAATACTCCTGGGCACTCTTTAAATTGAAAGATGGTTCATTAGATTTGTGCATCTGCCCTCCTCAGCAATCTGTTGTGTTTCTGATGAAGGCAGAAAAATATGAACATATCATTTTCGGGAATGTTATGAGTGACTCAGCTTCCTGCGATTATGGAGTCATAAAGGGCTCAGGCTGCCTAATTTCGGGAAACAATTTGTCGGAATCATTCTCTGTTCCAATCTCGGATTCTTATTCATTCTGGAAATCTCAAGGACAGGCCCTTTCCTCTTTTTGTTTTATAAGTCACCTAATGCATTATCTTCCATCTACAAATATTCTGCCTTAAAGGTACTAAGAAAGTTCCAACATCTTGTTCACCGTCTCCTGTGGCTCCTACGCTCTGCTCATCTACTGCAGTCTCCCAGGGAGCTGGCAGCCATGATGTCAGGAATAAATGTACACACTCTGAAGGGGTGAAAGGGTGAACGATTTTGTCCCCCACCCAATGCCTGCTATCCTGGAGAGTTAGTTTTCCCTAAACAGGTTCATGAACCATTCAAACAGATCCACCCACCTGCTACTGTCCTTAACAACACTCACTCTGGCCTGCTGGGTTTTGGCCTGGGGAAGACTAAGGCACACAGAGCTTATTTCAGCAAAGTGAGGCAGACACATTTCAGTGGCCAACTGGGACAACTCAGCCAGGAGTAGATTGCCTAGTGTACTATAAACCACTATACTGTGGTTATTAAATATATAAATATACATCACATATATATTCTAATGTATATATGTATTCCGATATCCCATATACTTATTACTGGATCATTTAAAAAGCAAGAATCCAGTTTCTACAGGTTTTGTTGCTCTGGAAGATGACAGGAGGTCAAGGCCATCTAGATAGATTCCATGATGCCCTGTCTCAACACCAACAAAGCGGCTTCCCGGTTTCTCCTGCTGACAAGACAGCCGTGACAGAACGCCACCCCCGCTGAGGCTGTGTCACCTTGCTGTTGCTATGACAAAGACATCCACAGAGTCTCAAGAGTCCTGAAAGGATGGAAAACCCCTAGGCTACCTCACAGGTATCAGATTCTCAGATGGCCAGGCATCCCCTAGCTTCCCAGGACAGAGATGTTCACTGGTTTGCAACATTTCGTGCAGGATAAATGTTTTCTGGCTCTTGGGAACCTAACATCCTGTTATGGATCAACACTACTAAGACATCTAGAGACCTTGAACACTGATTTTTTTCATCCTGCAGACACACTCATCCCCACACTTGAGCCAGCTTCCGAGTCTCCAGGCTCCTGTGGGCAGCAGGTGAGGGGCTGTGTGGAGGACCTTCCCAGTCTGCGGCGCAGGGTCGATGTCAAACCCAATGGACACTTACCAGCAATGTGAAGCTGTGCTCTGGCAGCATCCCATACTGCTGGACAAGCCTCTCTCTGGTTGCACTGGGGAGCTCCGGGAGCATGTTCCGAAGCTGGTCGATATTGATCACCTGCTGAGAGTCTGCATCTGAAGGCAGCGATGTGGCATCGTAGAGCACTAAGGGGGGCAGGTTAGGCTCTGGCATAAACCTAACAAGGAGAACAGATGGATCTGATTCTGGACGACTGGATTGATGAGAACCACAAATCCAGCAACGATGGGAGTGCTTCTGTGCCTAGGTACAAAGTCAGAACACTTGCAAAGGTCTCCGAACGTCCCAGTGAAAACTGCACAGCAAACCCACCCTCCACCATGATGGCAAAAAGACAGGTGAAAGGGTGACCTGGAACCAAGCCACATTCTGGCTTATCCTAGTGAGGAAAGTGTCGGCCTGGAAACTGAAGGACAAATGAGAGCAATTCCTTGTGAGGAAGACACATGACTTCCCTACTTTAAATTTTCTATTTTTAGCAGTACTTATACAACGAATTAAAAGCTAAAGAGGAATAGAGGGCTCTTCCCCTCTTGAGAAGTAGGAGAACAGAATGGATGTTGCCTAAGTGAACTGTGGAAGCCAGTGGGGAGGGAAGAGGGTGAAGAGAGAAATCCTGGGAGTCTATCAGAGGAGGGAACCTGTGCAATGGTGAGTTTATGCCATAGACAAATGCCAGACCCACAGAACGGACAGCTGAGAGTGAATGAGGCCCAGTGTAAACTATGACTCCGGTGACTAATAAGCAGCAATACTGGTTCACTGATGCAGCAAACCACACTGAGTGACCGGAGACTGGGGAGAAATACATGAGAATGTCACTTCCCATTCATCGCTGCCCTAAAAGACAGGTTAATAATCAGATGGACGACAGTACTGCGTTCATCTTACAAAAGGAAAATCCTCCTTCATTCTGCTCCAGCACTGCTTTCTCTCTGTCCAGAGCCAAAGCACTTATGAAAGGCGGGGCAGGGTTTCATAAATGCAGGGAGGATTAGAGGCGCAGGTAATTCCTCAATGCAGTACCAAGCCTTAGCTATGGGCTAGTCAGTCCTCTGAAAGCCAGGACAAACTCAAGAGGGAAGCTTCTGGAGACTTGCTGCTGTCTAACTAACTTGGGGGCTCTAGTAGAAGCCATTGGCTGAGTTAAAAGGGAGCAGTAACAGGGAGAGTAAAGAAAGTACTGTGGGAAAGTGTGGACCTAGGAGATCACCATAGGAAAATGGCAGGCAATGATAGTGTGGCAGTGACGGTATACCAGGCTTCACAAAGGAACAACAGCTTTGTAATCTGCTAAACTATGAGAAAGAGCAAAAGGTTCCATCTATCTTAAGTCTATGGTTATTGATTTAAGTGAAAGCCTTCTGTTATATAACAGTCCCTCGGGTTTAAGAATGGAACCCAGAACCTCTTACATGATAGGTGAGTATTCTACGGATGAACTAGTGGCCCCTAATTTGCTTATCTTGGCAATGAAATAGAATCATCTGAGGTTTGAGGGAACCCTCCACTGACAGGCCGATCTCTTTTTCATATGCTTCTAAAGCATTTCAGTAGATTCCAGAATTACTAACAAATGAAAGCCTAGACCCTCCCTCACCTGCAACCTCTTAGTTAAACAACAGTATCGTTGTTACAGAAGTCTGTGAGCAGATCTCTCCCAGCAATTAAACAAGGAACTCTGCACCTACCAAGTCAAGAAAATATCACTTCTCCTAGTTTACATATCACATCGAATAAGAAATTTTGTCTCTATCATATAAAACAAGTATGTAACATTGAATAAGAAATCTTGTCTCTATCATATAAACACAAGTATGTAACATTGAATAAGAAATCTTGATCTCTATCATATAAAAACAAGTATATCACATTGAATAAGAAATCTTGTCTCTATCATATAAACACAAGTAGTTCCCACATTCTCCAGCATCATCATGCTGACCTTCCAATGGATTTCAAATGCACTCCCAAATATCTGTCGTATTGTGCATGAGGAATAATCACCTGTAGTCTTGTTTGCCTTCTTTGTCTCTCATTGGCACGGTGCACCTGCAACAGTCAGAAAGGCAGCACTAAGCCAACCCTGCATGCAACACTGGCTACAAGATGCTCTATGGGCTGGAGGGCAAGCATTCACCACAAAGCCTGGGGTTAAAGGCCTGGTCCTATTAAGAAGAGGTAGAAACCTTAGAAGTGTCAGAAAGAGATGGCCCAATGGAAGGCCTTTGGGCCATTAGAATATGCCCTCAGAGGAGACAGAACGCTGGTCCCTCCTGATTTTGTTTCCTAGTGTGCTTACCTTCTTCATGCTTACCAAATACTTGGTAGAAACAACTCAGAAGGGAAAACACGTACTTATTTAGTTTTTAGTTTCAAAAGTATTAGTCCATCATGGTGGAAAGGTATGGCAAAGCAAACAAAAAATGGAAATACAAGAACAGACAGAGTAAGATATATACCCAAGCCCATGCGCCCAGAGACCTAGTCCTCCTACCAGGCCCAACCTCCTAATAATGCCATCATACGACTCCATGAGGGGATTCATCATTCATCAGGCTAGGGTCTAAGGGTCTAATGGTCCCTGGAAACACATTAGACACACCCAATGCTTCACTAATCTGGTCAGGCTAGCAATTGAGACTGGCCAGCACACTGGCAATGAGGTAAGGAGTTTAGCCCAACCATGTGCTTGGGACATGATGTGCCACCACAGGCCAAATCAATCAGTCTGAAACCTCTGAAGTCATGAGCAAAACTCACATTCGTTATAGTAACAGCTGCCTGGCATAGGGTTTCCTCAGTTAATCACAGGCAAATTCAAGCTCTTCAGTTTTCCATGGGATTCTATGGAATGGGCCTTCTAATTCCTAGGGCTCTCCCATTTTACACAGATAAAGAAAAATGCTTAGAAAAATCAATATATTGTGTCTGTGTAGACAGGGACTGAGCACACACACTCTATTGCGAACCCATCCTCAGCCAGCTTCCACACAACCTCTATCGACTTTCGAGCATTCTGTGGTATTTTACTTAAAGTACAAAATTTTAAAATTCAGACTGAGAAAAATTAGGGCGCAAGTTATCTAAACAACCATGGAAAGAGTATATGTGTTGGTTTGAATGAAAAATGTCCCCAGGGGCTCTGGAACTTGAACACTTGGTCCCCAGCTGGCAGTGCTGGTTCGGGGGTCATGCAGTCTTGCTGAAGGAAGCCTGTCCTTGTGGTTCACAGCTCTGCCCCACTTCCAATTTACTCTCTTCGGTTCGTGTTTGTGGTTGAAGGTTTGATCTCATGGTTTCCTGCTCCAGTCACTTACGGTTCTGCCTCCCTTGCCGATATGGGTACTGCCTTTGGAACCACAAGCCAAAGTAAACTCTTTCTTCCACAGGCTGCTTTTGATCACAGTGCTTTACCATGGGAACAGAAGTATAACTGATCAAGCGTCCCTACAACCATCTCTTAGCTGTTTTCTACATCAAGCTTAGGCTATGAGAAGTCTCACAGATGCAAAGGGAAGCCTGGGGCCTAAGTCTAAGCACTTCTGTGTAAGCTTGGGTCAGCTGAACTCTATGGTCCCAGAAGACCAGGTTTCATCCTACAGGGTGCAGTGGTCTCCTCTCTTATGGCTACAGAGAAGCTAGACCTTTCTTACACGACCAGTTCCTAGTCCATGGCTGAGCCCCAGTCCCCAAGCTGTGGCAAGAGGTTTATCAATACAGACTCACCCCAGATTATAATCAAAGGAACGAGTTTCATTTAGAACTTGTCAATACAAACTCACCCCAGCTTATAATCAAAGGAACGAGTTTCATTTAGAACTTCACCTCCATTCTCAAGTTCAGTGATTTGTCTCTGAATTTCATAGTCTATTAAAAAAAAAAAAACCCAGCAAGTTAGTATAATTGTGAATCCCCTTTATCCATTCAAGTAATACATAGAAACCATCCTCAAGCCTTAAGTTAAAGGGGAAAAAGTCAAGGAGATTGCTTATGATGATCCTTCCCTTGTGGGCTGTATTTTCTTCTCACAACTAGGAAGGGCCTTAGAAGGTCATCTCTTCCCTCCTCTCTCTTTTTCAGACACTTCAGCTCAGAGAGATTAACAACCTAGCACAGCTACAGCCCTTGGTAGAAGGGTGGGGACTGCAGTGTAGGTCTCGTGACTGCTGCTCCGGGACAGCGACCTATTAGAATTCCTTATCCTGGGACTAGCAGATGGGTCACAAGGAACTCTGATAACCTTCAAAATTTATACACAGAATATGGATTGAAATGTATGTGTATTTTTGGAAAGAGAATAATTTTCATTTTATTTTCAGAATATCTGTGACCACTGCTCCGTAACACATGCCCTCACTACCCAACAGACTAAACAGACTGTGCCAATCAACACAGTTCAACAGGACTGAGACACAGTCTAGCTGCTAGGCTCCTTTGCAAAAGTAAGCCCTCCCAACCTCCCAACCCCGTGTTCCCTGCTTAAATCCACACTTCATTTTTATTCCACCTCTCTTACCCAGATGTTCTCCTTGATTGACATGAAATGATGGCTAAAAGGACCACCATGATTTGAAAAAACCTGGTGGGAAAACTGTAGGCTCGAAGAATTAGGCCCATCGTGGAAAGCTTTGGTTCTGCTAGGCTTTGTTTGAACACAGGTAGAATTCTGACTATTGCTCCCGAGGGCACTTCATATAACAAAAAAAGTTAGGGATAGCTAAAAAATACCAAGGGCTCCTGTGTGTGCGGTTCTGGCCTTGGGTTGGTCACTCACCACCTTGTACATCAGTGCAGCCCTCAACACGCATGCCCAGGCTAAAGGCAAACTTCACCCTACTTGCTCCCAGCTCCTTCAGACACAGGCTGCAAGCACAAGCCTCTCCCCTTACTTCTTTGGTGGCTTCAGAGAGTGGACTATGTCATTCCTTACCCTTATCCTGCTGTTCCATGAGTAATCTTTGAACCATTTGAATACCTTCTCTCTAAAAATATGTCCCTTCAAGTGTCTTCATTAAGGCTAGCTAATCATTTCAGGTTTGGGACACAAGATTTAGACAGGTGAGAATAACCTCTTCTGAACACATCAATGCTGTGCCCCAGAGACCAGTGTCCACTGAGCACCTTGGTTTCAGCAGTGTGAAGGCGACACCTTCAGCAGGCTTGTTGCCTGTATACTCCAGACAGGGTTGGCTTTTAAGTTACCCCTCCCTCCTCTAGGGATATCTCTGGCTTTAAAATCTACTCTGAGTCTCCTGAGTTGTCCTCCTCTCGGACTGTCTCTAGCTTCTGTGGGACTGACCATAGAGCTAGCCTGCTCTACATTAGCTACTACCGTACATTCGTCATCAATGAAATGCTCACTGTATGCCCCGCGAAACCCAACCTTGACTGTACAGGCACATGCAATCTATTAGCCGAAAATGGTAAAAAGTAGAAACATATTAACTAAATAGACTATATTCAATCTAAAGAATGAACCTGACATCATAAAGCACATGATACGTGGTAGAACACAATTACCATATTTTATAAATCCTCTCAAAGCAGGTGGAATCTATTTCCTTTCCTTGGGTCTGGCTTGAATTCAAGATGCTTTGAAAGAAATGTGTCGGAAGTGACACTGTGAGTTGGGTTCCAGAACTGAGGACTCACGTGAACTTTGAGGCTTAGGCCTCCACCCTTCTGGGACCCTCCACTGGCAAACACAAAAGCCTGGGCTAGACAAGGGAAGGACAAAAGACCACGTGGGCTGGAGAAGCCCAAGTCACAGGGGACGTCACAGGGCCCACGTGACTGAGGCCGTCTCAGATCTTTGCTCCTGCTAACCTGACAGTTTCTGGAGCTGCAGGCATGTGCAGAGGCAGGTCTGGCTGGACCACGACCTGGAACAGAGCTATGAGAACTAGCATCGCTGCAGCAGCCTCAGGTGTCCACTACAGCACGGTGACCGATACACACAGGGACACAGCAGAGTCAGAGTTGACATTCACCTATGGCTTTGGCCAAGAATCTGAGGCTGTTGAGATTCTTCACTTCTGTCCGGACACCCAGAGGTTCCCCGGGATGATGTACGGATATATTGGCGTCTACTCTCAGCTGACCCTCTAGAAAGAAAAAAAACAAAACCTGTAGAAATTATTTGAAGCAATATGGTTTGTAGGGCCTGGAGATATCAAGGTACGTAGTCTCTCCCTTGATTTTCTGTCTGGTTAGAACAACCTATGTAGAGAGCATAATTGGTTCTGAAACACAAGGCCGCTTCCACTGCCACTCACGGCCAGCCAGAGTCCTGAGGAGTGTGTAAATATGCTTCTTCTTGTGCACACACAGACATTTGCGACGCTCAAGCTGGAAGGATCTATCTAGTGCCTGTGTGCTAGTTGAGAACAAGGTTATTAAAATAGAGGTTCGTTCTTCAGTTTCACTCTATGGTTATTTCTAAAGCATCTGAGCTGAGTTTGGGGGAAGCCTCAAGAATGATTATGTGAAGCCCTCCAGTGCTCTCCGTGTGTTTTCAGGAGATTTATAAGACAGTCCTTGAGAATTTACAGCTCAAGGGCTGGAGCTGAAACCTGAGCTGCCCCCTCCTTTCTCAGGCACTGTAATGATTTTCCTTCTATAAACAGGAATCTGAAGCCTCCCTGGTTGCCATGAGGATTTGCTGAAGCAGACAGACTGTGGTGGATGGGTGGAGGGGTGAGAGGAGAGTTGGCCACATCCTCATGGGGCCTCCTCTGCCCTGGAAAGCCCCATGGCTCAGGAGACACGACCCTAAAGGAGCAGGTGATTTGTGGGGAGAGAGAGAGAGGCACATCCCAAAACAGATACAAAGACTCTGAAGACAGAAATAATCACATTTTCTATCTTACAAGGCAAAGCTCAAGTTCTATTCTCCAATTTTATGTGCAATACTTACAAGATGGGAAGACACGTGTTGCTCTTATTTATCTTTTGAGACAGAGTCTCACTATGGAGCCCTGGCAAGCCTTGAATTCACCATCTTCCTACAACAACCTCCTATGTAGCTAGGACTAGAGGTGTGTGTCACTGGTCCTAGCTCTTACGTAAGGTTTTGAAGATATTAATCCTTTAAACCTGATGATGGGCTAGATAAATTTATTTCCCAAATATTCCACAACAAAAACATATTAAAACAATTAAAAGCATCAATAAATCCCACATCCCCTGGAAGTGTGCACTTCTGACTACTGCCAAAGTGTCCTCTGCTTACCTTTCTGGCTGTCATCTGCAGTCTGTCACCTTGTAACCTCAGGGGTACTTTCTGAGCTCCTCTTTCTGCCAGGCTCTTTGCCTAAGCTGTTTCTAGAATGCTCACCACCACCAGTTCTAGGCTGCATAGGCCTTGAGTTGTTCTTTATTTCTTAACTAAACATCAGCTCCACTGAGTGGCCTTTAGAAGCAATATTGTCACTTTTCAAGTTGTTCTGGCACTGAGCTTCATTTACAGCCTTAAAATAACTATAATAACTATCTTTGTTTTGCTTGTTAATGTAATTCCTCCTTACTCCTCCCAAGGGTCACATCCTCAAGGCAGGGACAAGAACTTTTTCAGAATTTAGGGCTGGGTCTGACCCACTGTTACTGTCCAATGAATTAAACCCCACTGAATGATGAATTCCAACACACTGGTATTTTCCTGAGCAATAAGCAAACGGATTGGTTTCTGTGTCACGCTGGTTCCTGGTAAATCTACAAGCCTGTCTGACTGGAACTAATATAATATACATTTGGAACCACGCAAAAGACCCATTAAGCTCAAAGGAAAACTGCCCAAGTAGCCGAACTCTGCACGACCAAACCGCTTCTGCACTAGGGGACCTTGAATTACTACTCACTTTTAAAGATGATACTCTCTTTCATGATTTAGAATTCTAATTTGGAAGAGGAATAAAGGCATGAATTTTCGTCTCTCCCAGAGAATACCACACTACATAAATGTCTGAGGAGAATCACTTAGTATCCTGCCGTGTTGAAAGAGAGTTCACTAGTCTGGATTCAGGTATAGTATCAGACCTTAACAAAAGACACTCTGCCTCGTGAAGACAAAATGCCTTTTAAACAAATTAAGTTAAATTACCCCAAGTGCATGAAAGCCTTAGCAGTCAGGTTTGGCTCTGCATTCTGTCCCACTGAGGGGCCTCCATTCCCACATAAGGATGTCATCACGCTCAATCTCTGTCTTCTTGGAGTAGACAGCTGTAACAGCTAAACTACAAACTGGACCACTGAGCACAGTGACAGAGCAGTTACGTCTTCCTTTGAAATACATCTGAACAAGAGCAAAACACTGCGATACAAAACTCTTTCCACAAACAATGGGGATCTGAGGCCTGAAGAGGGAGGTCTGTGAGGACGGCCAGTCTTTCTGGCTGCTGAGCAATCCCAGAACTGAGAAGAGAATGCAGGCAGGGCTGATTTAAAACCCGTCTGCAGTGCTGGAATAGGTCTCACACATGCTAAACAGGTATCTTACCACTGACTGCATCCCTGGCCAAATGGGATCAAATTTTATTGCCAATAACTCACAGAACACATCCATCCAGGTGAGTGCAAACTCTGTAAAAGCAGCCTACTTACTGCTGTTGAAGGTGCGGCCCCCACACAGCGGCTTTTGTCACAGCTGTCGTTACACCCACCCTCTGTAACAGAGTGGCAATGACAAGGACATTCCCTGGGTCCTTTCAGATCACGGCCCCACCAGAGCCCAGACCTGCTCCTACGAAGTCACTCCTCCCCACCACCCAAGACTCCGGCTTGCTTTTCTCTTCTGTTTCTCTCTTTCCATACAACTATTTGAGAATGACTTTTAAAGGTGTAGAAAGTAAGACTCAAAGAAATGAAGTAATATGTCCAGGTTTCTATTGCGAGAAGCCATAGGTTTGGATTCTAACTCAGATCCAGGCTCTCTGTCCACATCCATGCAGGGATCCGGCAGCATGATGCTGTACGGCCACACTGGGAAAGCACCATGGATAAACAAAGGAGACGCACTTGGGCTCTAATGAGTCCTGGACTAACAGCCTGTCCACAGTCTCCTTACCTGTACACAGCCATACCACCACCCCCCAGGAATACCACAGTGTTTAAGTTACAGGATAAACTGTTTTAATAAATAAGCACATACTAAACTTATCAACTGGTAGATAGAATCACTGTCCAACTACTTAGTAGGTCTACTTCTCTTCCCATTCAGATCAGCGCGTAGCTTTGGAGATCTCTTTTGACAGTAGCAACACGCTGAACATGAGAAGGCAATGGCTCAGACACTGGGCTACGGTGGTGCATGCTTACTAGCGAAACTACCAGGAACTCACTAAATGGAGCCCAGAACACTACATGCTTCAGTATAAGTACCACGTCTACAGGTCTCCAGTGGCACCTCTTCAAGACAGCCTTCAGACCCAAGTGCAGCCTCCAGTGCTGCAGCCCCCAGTGCTGCAGCCTCCAGGGCTGCAGCTTCCAGAGCTGGCATGACCATCTCACAGTGGCGGCATGAAAAAATGAGCAAAGACACTTGGGCTGAAAATGCTAATGGCCGAGAATTTAGACTCCTGAACCCTCCAGGCAGCCCTCAGTGCTCTTCAGAACAACTCGAGCTTCTTGGCTGCTGTGCTGGAAGCAAAGCTGCTGGATTTATGTCAAAAAGAAACAGAAAGTGCACAACAAAAGAGATTCAGTGACCCTGCTCCACTACCACTGACTCAAGGGCTCTTGCTGGTGTAGTTGTCCTCCTGTGATGACTCAGAGGGGACTCTTCCCCCAGCTAACAGGTAGCCTATTCCTTACTCCATAGGTCTGCAGGAGGCAGTGATTTTGAGACTATCTAGAAACTTTAAAAACATGATACAGAATGAACGCTTAGCACATTGATGGCTAACCATCCAACCTGCCCATATTTCATTTATGTACTGTTGGGATAAGCAGCATGAGTGATGAATGGAAAACAGACAGTCCCCTTATTCCAACATGTCTTGTTCTATAAAAGACACATGCAGGCAGCTAACCTTTCTGCCACTCTACTCCAGCCTTTAAGGACGAGAGCAAATAAGCAAGCTTGGTCACCAGGTCTCACTCGCTGCAAGACTCTTGGGTTACAATTCACCATTTGTAAGATGTCCTATTTGACAAGCATGGCATTAAGAACTGAGAAGCCCTCTGTAACATGCAAACACGTTGTGTGATGTGATAATGGTGTGCAGCGTATTACAGTCCAACAGGAGATGAGCGTCAGCACGAAAGGTGCTCACTAGGTGCACACTGCAGCCGCTTTAATGTGCATGCTACGGAAACAAGACTAAACGCAGAGTACACTCTGTCCGGGAGGGCGCCAAGGGCGGGGGCGTCTTTACACAGCCTCTGGAAAGGGGAAACTGGATGTGGTTCACTCTCGGGGACTTGAGGGCTTTAAACATCCAGGTAACCACTCTCTGAGCTGCATCTCTAGGCTGGGATCATCACAATATTCATTTACAGGAAAAAAAAAAGGCTTTACCTGCACACACATAAAAATCTTTACTCCGTTTTAAAAATTATTGGGTTATTATTGTTGTTTCTTGAGACAGGGTCTCACTGTTTGGCCCTGACTGGCCTCAGACTCTCTTTGTAGATCAGAGGTCTAACTGCCTGCCTCTGCCTCCTGGGTGCCAGGACTAAAGATATTTTAATTGTACAAATGAAGGGGAAACAGTTTGATATTTCACTATCAGCATCCACATACATAGGCATAGTGGGTAATAATCAAATCAGGGGAGTTCACCGTCCAAGATGGATGATAATTTCGTAAAAACTAGATCTTCCCAGAATAACAACTGCCTATGCACAGAACTCACAAAATAGGAATTATTATTCATGAGCAATGCTCTCTTCTGAAAGGTCTGAACTGAACACACCTCATGAACCCCACAGCTCTCATCTAACAAACTGGCAGGAGGTCAATCTTGCCTCCTGACTCCCTCTCTCCCATTCTCTGGCTCAAAGTGAATGCAGTGCTGTTTGTGTTGAGCTTTGACTGGGGCTCACAGAAGGAGCGCAGGGGAAATTTTAAGGGTGAAAAGAAGTGAGGTACAAAAGGCTAAATACAGAATGTGCCAGAAGCAGAGGGAGGGATGATGCCGAGCAGGGCTACTGTCCACCCAAGCTCTACCTGCCATGTTTGCCTGGCTGGTCCCCAGGGCTTGAAGGATCAGCTGCAGTTCCCTGACAGCCACGGCTGCCTCTTCCCCACAGCACAGGTCAGGCTCCAGGACCACTTCGAGCAGGCCAACTCCTACCAAAGAGAGGCGAGTCACAAACTCATCAGCTAAGGAAAACGTGGCGTTAATGCACAACCCTCAAAGCAAACCCGTGCCCCCTTCCCGCACTTCTGTCAATTTGTAACCCTGGTTCATTTCTTCCAATGTCTACTTGAGGATATCCAGCTGTGGGCCGTGACAAGGCAGATGGGTCTGTCTGAGGTCAGGGGTGTGTAATTGGCAAGCCTAGCAGCGAGCACGGTTCAGGCTGTGCTAGCTCATTAGCTCTGCCAATACCAACATGGATATTTTGATCTGTTAGTCAGTTCCTGTGCCTGCTTTCTCAATTAGTTTGAGAGAAAAGTCTAGAAGGGAAGAGAAGTACCCAAGACCCCAGAGCAGAGAGGGCCAGAAGAAGTAAGCTAGACCCAACCTACCGGCTCGATTCAAATCAATGAGAGTCTGGGACCTCAGGTCATCGTGGAGGCTTTTGCCACTGTCCTGCTCCAGCTGGATCTGTTTGATCCTCACTGTCTTGGTGGTCACCTGACTCTGTTTCTTCCTTATGTAGATGTTGTACGTCAAGTGTCCGTTGGTAGCAATAGGGAGCCTCTGCTGGGTGATCTGGTAACCTGCCTGCTCACAAGCGTACACAGGTTAGTTACGAGTCCAGAACTGAAAGCTGGGATTCACTTAACTTTTAGTTTCAAGTCATAAAGGTTTACTTGAAACAAACACAAAGAACAGGAGAAACAAGGAAACAACAATAAAACCTAGTTTATACACTGCTGCCTTAATTTAGCCTTTCTTCTTTTGGCTTTTTCTATTACCCCATTCCCCACCCCAAGTCTCTCACCCTCAATAAAGATGCAATTAGCAAGAGGAATCCTATCTTCCTTGCTGGAGTGCCATTTTTGAGAGTAACAATAATCTCATTGTCGGAGGCCCCTAAGAGAAGAATTTATTGTTTTCATTTAGCTCATTAGCCTAGATTCTGCATTGCATTACCAGGCTCCTGCTGAGCCCCTTATTAGGGAATGCCAGCTAAGCAGCTAGTCATCCACTTGCAGCATGGCTACAGCAACGGCCGTTGCATACCAGCTTGTTCAGGGTCTGCTCTCTCGGGTAAGCAGTCATGTCAGCTGCTCTTCCCTTATCCCTCTAGCCAGAAAGTGCTGCAATGTGCTCCCAATCTGCGAACAGACAGCACACAGTGCAACAAACTGACGGATGTTGTGAGGATGCCTGTCCCTTCTAAACGGAGAATTACCTTCTAACACATGCATGACGATGGAAGACTGGAGGTAAACAGTGATGGCTACAGCATCCGCAGTACTTGCTGGACACCGTCGTCCTCATTCAATCCCCGGAGCCTATGCAGTACAGGCAAGAGGGGGCCAAGGGTCTTATCCAAGGCCATACATAGAACCAGGTGATCACCAGGTCACACTGGTCCAAGTTGGTACCTCTCCTTACTAGGCCAGTGAAAGACTTTTAAAACTTTTACTGCCTTAGTAATACAAGTGGACATGTCAAGTCATAGCATGTTTAATGCAAGCTTCAAGGTTTCTGATGCAGGAGGCCTGGGGTAGGGCTCTGGGAGATGCTGACACTGGGGAACCGTGCAGAAGGCTAGCTCCTTATCTATACTCGGATAGCAAGTCTCCACCTATAGCCCTGAATTCTGGTTTGGGTTGCTGGACAAAGCACCAGGCACTTGCTAAGTCTGAGCTTCAGATACACAGCAAATGAGCTGTGTCATATGCAGGCCCTGTGCGACATGGTGACCACCTGTTCTGGACATGCTGAACTGCCCAGGCCAGGAGGACCAGGCTACACTCCAAACATTTCCAGGGTTTCATGTCAGTCAGTGGTACACAACTCACCTAGCATATGCAAGTCCCTACATTCCATCCCCAGTACTGAAAAATTAAACATTTCTTTTCAATTTATATAGCCGAACTTGTAGAAATGGGGGCTGTGGGGGGAGCTACAGGTCCTCTTTACCTTGCTTTTTATTTATGTCTGTTTATGCCCACTAAACCCCAACTCTTCCAAATCTTCAGTTCCAGGAGAATGATGCATGGCAATGTTTATTGCTACTGTTTTTCAAAATCATACTTACCTATCAGAACATCTGATTAAATGACACATTATTTTCAGGAACCCATTCAACATTTCAGTTTTGTTCCAGAGTGAACACGCACCATGAAAAATGGTCTCTCATTTACACTGGCACCACTTTAAAAAAGAAACTTTCTAAATTTAGTGCAAAAGCAAGTAAATATTGAGTTTGATGCTCAGCTAATTACTGCTGCTTGTGCTCACACTGGCTCACAATCTTGCCTACTACTGTCTGTCCAGTTACTCGCTCCTTGGGAGATGGCAGAATGTGTCAAAGGAGCTAGCCTCCTTATTAGGAAATTCTACATAAAAGAGACACATTCTCACAATGTCTGAAGCGACAGTGGTACTAACAGCTGCACCAAGCACAGGGTTAGCCTTTGTCCTAACAGGCAATTAGCACCAAACACCATGGCTGGGAGGACCTGACAGCACTGGCCTCTCCTGGTCCCTGTTCAATTACGAGTGAACCAACAGAAGCATGAGACTAAGCAAGGAGTCAGCGGTCAGGACAATCACATCCAATCTAGTGAACACCGGGGGGCCTCTGCCTTCATTAGGGCTGGACAGAGCCTCCTGCTGCGGTGGACAGAGGGCGGACAGAAAACACGAGTGGCGCATCCCCGAGGCAGGCCTGGCCAGTGCTGAGAGCGTGTGAAGGCAGATCACACAGCATACTTACAGGAAGGTCTGCGTAGAAGTAGTGCTTCCTGTCAAACAGGGACTTCCTGTTGATGTGGCAGTTCAGTGCCAAGCCGGTCATCACCGCAGCTTCCACACACCTCCTGTTGAGAACCTTTACAAACACCAGACAAGCTTCTTTAGAACCACAGGCCACACAGCTGCTTCTCTCCACTCCCAAAATCTTTCCTGAATAGTTAAAACTGTTATCTCTGGTTCTCTGTGGTCAGCTCTGCTTGCCAAGCTGACTGCAAATCAGAAAAACATTACAACATCAACAAAACACGTATGTACCCTTCCCCAGCACACATCAGACAAAGGAGATTCACAATGCTCAGTAGAGCATTGCCACATGGACTAATCCCTTGTCCCTCTCTGCAAACAGAATCTGTGTGAGGCAGTGACGGGGAGAACATCTATGTCCCAAAGACAAGGGCACCTTCATATGGAAAACAAACAAAACAAACAGCAAAACCCCCCAGAACACTACTAAAGCTTAAATCACACATTAAACTCCACACACTAATAGTGGGAGACTTCAACACCCCACGCTCACCACTGGACAGGTCTGCCTGACAGAAAATTAATAGAGAAATAAGGGAACTAACAGATGTTATGAATCAAATGGACTTAACAGACATTATAGAACATTTCATTCAAAGACAAAAGAATATACGTTCTTCTCAGCACCTCCTGGAAACTTCTCAAAAATTGACCACATACTAGGTAACAAAGCAAACCTCCACAGGTACAAAGAAATTGGAATAACCCATATATCTTATCGGATCACCATGGCTTAAAATTAGAATTCAACAGCAACACTAATTGCAGAAAGCCCACAAACACCTGGAAATTAAACAATGCTCACCTGAATCACCAATAGGTCAAGGAAGAAATAAAGGAAGAAATCAAAGACTTCCTAAAATTCACTGAAAATGACCACACAACATACTCAAGTTTATGACACACTGAAAGCAGTGTTAAGAGGAAAGTTCAATGTCTTTAATCCTAGCATTTGGGAGGCAGAGGCAGGTGGATCTTTGAGAGTTCGAAGCCAGCCTCGTCTACAAGAGCTAATGCCAGGACAGGCCCCAAAGCTACAGAGAAATTCCCAACACCCTGCCCCCCCAAAACAAGGAAAGTTCATAGTACTAAATGCCTACATAAAGAACTTGGAAAAAAATCCTACACTATTGAGTTAACAGAACACCTGAAAATTCTAGAACAAGAAGCAAACTCACTCAGAAGGACTAGATGACAAGAAATAAATTGAAAGCTGAAATCAACAAAACAGAAACAAAGAAAACAATGCAAAGAATCAATGAGACAAAGAGTTGTTTCTTCAAGAAAATCAACAAAATAGACAAACCTTTATCCAAACTAACCAAAAACCAGAGAGAGAATTTCCAACAGGGACATAACAATATGGAAGAAATCCAGAGAATCATCAGATCATACTTTGAAAACCTGTACTCCACAAAATTGGAAAACAAAGGAAATGGATAAATTTCTGGATAAATATCACTTACCAAAATTAAATAAAGACCAAATAAGCAAATTAAATAGATCTATAACTGCTAAGGAAACAGAAACAGTCATCAAAATCACCCAACCTAAAAAAAACAAAAAGAAAAAGGAAAAAATAAAAGCCCAAGACCAGATGGTTTCAGTGTGGAATTCTACAAAGAACTAATACCAATACTCCTCAAATTGTTCCACACAATAGAAACAAAAGGAACATTGCCATACTCTTTTTATGAGGCTACAGTTAGCCTGATACCACAAAAAGACATTACTAAGAAAGAGAATTACAGTCCACTCTTCCTCATGAACATTGATGCAAAAATTCTCAGTAAAATACTGGCAAACTGAATCCAAGAACACATCAGAAAAATCATCCACCATGACCAAGTAGGCCTCATCCCACAGATGCAGGGAGGGTTCAACATATGAAAATCTGTCAATGTCACTATATAAACAAGCTGGAAAAAAATCACATGATCACCTCATTAGGTGGCTGAAAAAGCTTTTGACAAAATACAACATCCCTTTATGATAAACATCCTGGAGAGAGCAGAGATACAAGGAACATACCGAAACATAATAAAGGCAATATATAGCAAGCTAACATCAAACTAATTCGAGAGAAACTCAAAGTGATCCCACTGAAATCAGGAAGAAGACAAGGTTGTCCTCTCTCTCCATATCTATTCACTATAATTGAGGTCCTAGCTAGAACAGTAAGACAGCAAAAGAAGATCAAGGGGATACAAATCAGAAAAGAAGAAGTCAAACTCGCAGTATTTGCTGATATGATAGTTTACATAAGTGACCCCAAAAAGTCTACCAAAGGAACTTCTACAACTCTCAAACACCTTCAGTAATATAGCAGGATACAAGATTAAACTCAAAAAGTCAGTAGCCCTCCTTTATATAGATGATAAATGGGCTGAAAAGTAAATATCTCAGAGTAACTCTAATGAAACATGTGGAAGATCTATATAACAAGAACTTTAAATCTCTGAAGAAAGAAATCGAAGAAGTCACCAAAAAAACGGAAAGATCTCCCATGCTCTTGGGTAGGTAGAATTAACAGACTAAAAATGGCAGTCTTACCAAAAGCAATCTACAGATTCAATGCAATACCCATCAAAACCCCAGCAAAATTCTTCATAGACCTCGAAAGAACAATATTCAACCTCACATAGAAAAGCAAAAAGTCCAGGATAGCCAAAACAATCCTGTACAATAAAAGAACTTGTGGAGGCATCACAATCCCTGACTTCAAACTCTACTGCCGAGCTACAGTACTATATTTTGGGAAAGTTTGTAGGATTGCTGAACTCGAGGATGACATTAAGTTCCACATTCTAATGGTGGACCTGTGGTATTCTCTGGTATAGATGGCGTTTCTCTGTAATATTATATTTAGCATATGACAGTATTTATATCAGCTAGGTTAGTGTAGGCAATGCTGTCCAGTGAGAATTTTCACCTTAACTATTTCAGTTCAGGGTTACAGCAGCCCTATAGAGAAGGAAATTAGAACTATCCCAGTATTTCAGTAAAGAAAAACTAAGTCCCTCCAAAGATCCCTGGCTAAGGAGCCCAAGTGACAGATGAAACCAGCTCTGTAGCCCTTGCCCGGATGGCAAGCTGAAATCCTGAGACTCAGGGCCTCGCTTTCTCAACTGAGATGAGAACTGATAGGTCAAATAGACTAGAAAGCAAGTTGTATAACAAAACACAGATTGATCTCTAATGACAGCAATATACAAACCCCCAAAGGAAACTCAAACAATTTCCCTCTAGAGACCATACCACACCCCTCTTGGAAACTAAGAAAGTCTCCAATGGAGCCATCTCCCAGCAAGTTCCAAGTTCGTCATTCTGGGTCTCATGATATTGTCAGCCCTGCAAGAATAATGGAAGATGTGCTTGGGGACCAAGATGATCTAATAATTATGTGCTTTTACTGGCCAGTGTCTGACATCTCATGGAACTGCAGTCAACGCCATACTAACAGAGCTGCTGGATAGCTCTGTGCAGTCTGCGCCTGCTGATAGGGGCAGCACACACAGGCTGTAGTGCCAGAGCTCCAGCACTGAGATGAGCTCTTCTTGGGGCGGGGAGAGAGTGTGGCTGTGTACACTCTTTACCTCTCTGCCTACATCTGATTTGCTGGTTGCTTCCTACTGATTTCCAGCGTCTGCCTCTCTCACACTGTGGTCCAGCTAGGTACGGAGAGAACCCAGGTCATTCTGCTCTCAGCATGCACAGTAAGTTGCCTGATTCTGTCACCAGGAGAGAGTCTGGAGTGTTGGGTGACCACAGACTCTCACTGTGTACTTATCAAGTACACCGGCACTGCATAAGTCATCAATTTTCAAAGAATAAGAATGCAGTAAAACACACAAACATCAGACTGATGTTGAATAGATTTTAATCTTTTTCTGATGATTTAGAAGCCTTGAAGTACTTCAGGGTCAGAGTTATAAGCATCAATCATCACCACACTACAGTTGCACAGAGGGGCTAGTAAACAGAGTGCCAGCTAAAAGAACGCCAAGAAAAGAATTTATTATGATCTTAGTCAAGCTGCTTGTGACAGATGGAAGGCCAGGTCAGCATGTTCTGAGGATGGAATGAAAAAAGAAAAAAATTCAACTTCATTTGGAATGAAGCTATCTTCATTCCAAAATATTTTCTGAATGTTTAAAATGTACCAAACATCAGTGACACGAAGATAAACAGGACTTTGTTCCTGTTCCAGCCCTTGGTCAACCTGTGAGGATGAGACAAACCTGCCTTTTTCAAGCTTATACTCCACATCAGGGTAGGCTGTTAAAAATGCATCTTGTGGCATTTTGTGAACCCAAATGTCTTAATGGTGCAAATATCCCCAAAATAAAAGGCCAAGCTCTGGCATGTTTTAGCTCCTTCCTACATCTAAAACGCCTTGTCTTACTATGCCCTCACTGGTGGATCAGTTCTCCTATACAAACCTACAGGTCCTGACTCACTCTGCTCTGCAGACTCTTAGAGATGTGGCCACTTCTGTAAAGCCAGCTACTATTCTTCCTAGCAGCAACCTTACCTTCTCTCTGCACCCAACCTGTGCTTGCATCACAATGGACTGGATCTGTTCCATGTAGTTATATATATAAAATCACAAATCTCGTGAGAATGGAACTCTGCCAGAATCTGAAGAGAGACGTGTGGAAAGTGAACTCAAATGAGGAGGAAGGTAACGGGAAAGTTTCACAGAGGCAGTGACGACCTGCCACCTCTGGCCCCCTCCCTGCAGCCCTCGCTGCCTCCCTGTGCCCTCTTGGACATTTGCACCCTTCTGTCATCTGTGCAATGGAGTCTTTGTTCTATTTTACTGCTAAGAGTATTTTCCTTTTCCCCACCAATACATTTCTAGAAAAAACTTTGCTTTTATCTTGTAGCTATCATTGTTGGTATGTTGATAAAGAGGATGTTAAATTATTCATTATCTTAGCTAATGTTTAATCAGTTTGGTATTCTATTTAGGAGATAGGTCAAAAGAAGAACCAAGCAGAATGATTTGATTGTCCCCTGGGAACTTAGCCTGGCAAGGGGGTGGCGCTT